CACAAAGCTAACCGCTTCACTGCGCACCGCGGTTTCGCACACGCGAGCGGGGTGCACGCCGACACGACGACTCGTCCCCTCCCGCACTCGCGCGTGCACGTCAACACAAGTATCGTGCAAGGACGATTCTCCTCTCACACGGCTGCGTAGGCACGCCAACACACAAAAGTGCTCTCCCCGGGCATTAACACACACACCTCCGTACCCGCGCCATCGTACAGAGACCACGGCCTTTACGCATACAACGACCACACACCCGCGAATGCAGTGCACGCTAATACCACGTTCAAAAACACCCAACAACACGGTTTTGTTACTACGCTCGAGATTTTATTAACCCTTGTTAACCCACCGAGCCACCCGTGTGTGTGTACAAGCCAGCAAGGCGCTTCCAACCCACTCTCTAGTGGCGTGCAGCCCTATTCTATGCTGCGCTCTCTGTTACACCGCTTTCCTACTCGTCCTTACCCCGAACTAACCTTCTCCTACGGATCCTACTCTCCGCTCTGAGGTGTTGTAAGGCGCGTAATACGATACCGTCTGTAGTCCTAGGTGACCTTGCGGCGCTCAGGTCGTCCTGCAGACGATCCTGCGGCTCGCCCGATGACTCCCTCGTCGTCGAGCCCGTGTCACTACTCCAGAAGAAGAGAGAACCCTACTGCCCCTGCGTTTTCTTTTAAACTATCCACATCAAAGGCTAGGCGCCCCCGTCCCGACCGCCTTGGTCTCTCGACCAATCCTGAGCCTAGAATTTCCCGCCCTTTTGCGATCCCGCCGGCCTTTGACCTTTTTGCTAATCAGCAGCCCCGGGTCCTGATCCTAGCTATCTGCCTTGCTGACCCGTGTTTGTGTTTGTATGCGTTTCTAACTGCAGGGCTCTCTGAGCTCGCCGTGGTCGTGCGATCTCAAATCCGCCCACGGCGCCGCAGTGTTACTTAGCCTGGGAAGGGTCCTGTCCAATTCCCTGGCCCTGAGAAACCGTGGGGTAACCCCCCGAGGGGGCCCTCGGGTGAAAACTCAGGGTAGGTGACCCGACCACAAGGCCCTACGTGGGTGCGGGTGCGTGCTTATGTGGGGGGGGGGTGATGGGGGGCAGTGCAGTGGTGGAAGCCGGGCAGCTCCCTGGCTCGGCAGAGCGGCCCCGTCGTTGTGGCACCACAGGTGTCACGCTCCCCCTGGTCACACAGGAAGTGGTGTCACGCAGGAAGTGGTGTCACGCTCCCCCTGGTCACACAGGAAGTGGTGTCATGCTCCCCCTGGTCACACAGGAAGTGGTGTCACACAGGAAGGGGTGTCACACAGGAAGTGGTGTCACGCTCCCCCTGGTCACACAGGAAGTGGTGTCACGCTCCCCCTGGTCACACAGGAAGTGGTGTCATGCTCCCCTGGTCACACAGGAAGTGGTGTCACACAGGAAGTGGTGTCACACAGGAAGTGGTGTCACACAGGAATGTGGTGTCACACAGGAAGTGTGTCACACAGGAAGTGGTGTCACACAGGAAGTGGTGTCACACAGGAAGTGGTGTCACACAGGAAGTGGTGTCACACAGGAAGTGGTGTCACACAGGAAGTGGTGTCACACAGGAATGGTGTCACACAGGAAGTGGTGTCACGCGCCCCCTGGTCACACAGGAAGTGGTGTCACGGTCCCCCTGGTCACGCAGGAAGTGGTGTCACGCGCCCCCTGGTCACAGCAGGAAGTGGTGTCACGCAGGAAGTGGTGTCACGCTCCCACTGGTCACACAGGAAGTGGTGTCATGCTCCCCCTGGTCACACAGGAAGTGGTGTCATGCTCCCCCTGGTCTGCTGGTCACACAGGAAGTGGTGTCACACAGGAAGTGGTGTCACACAGGAAGTGGTGTCACACAGGAAGTGGTGTCACACAGGAAGTGGTGTCACACAGGAAGTGGTGTCACACAGGAAGTGGTGTCACACAGGAAGTGGTGTCACACAGGAAGTGGTGTCACACAGGAAGTGGTGTCACACAGGAAGTGGTGTCACACAGGAAGTGGTGTCACACAGGAAGTGGTGTCACACAGGAAGTGGTGTCACGCTCCCCCTGGTCACGCAGGAAGTGGTGTCACGCTCCCCCTGGTCACGCAGGAAGTGGTGTCACGCGCCCCTGGTCACGCAGGAAGTGGTGTCACGCGCCCCCTGGTCACGCAGGAAGTGGTGTCACACAGGAAGTGGTGTCACGCTCCCCCTGGTCACGCAAGAAGTGGTGTCACACAGGAAGTGGTGTCACGCTCCCCCTGGTCACGCAAGAAGTGGTGTCACACAGGAAGTGGTGTCACGCTCCCCCTGGTCACGCAGGAAGTGGTGTCACACAGGAAGTGGTGTCACGTTCCCCCTGGTCACGCAGGAAGTGGTGTCACACAGGAAGTGGTGTCACGCTACCCCTGGTCACGTAGGAAGTGGTGTCACGCTCCCCCTGGTCACGCAGGAAGTGGTGTCACACAGGAAGTGGTGTCACGCTCCCCCTGGTCACGCAGGAAGTGGTGTCACACAGGAAGTGGTGTCACGCTACCCCTGGTCACGCAGGAAGTGGTGTCACACAGGAAGTGGTGTCACGCAGGAAGTGGTGTCACGCTCCCCCTGGTCACGCAGGAAGTGGTGTCACGCTCCCCCTGGTCACGCAGGAAGTGGTGTCACACAGGAAGTGGTGTCACACAGGAAGTGGTGTCACACAGGAAGTGGTGTCACGCTCCCCCTGGTCACACAGGAAGTGGTGTCACACAGGAAGTGGTGTCACACAGGAAGTGGTGTCACACAGGCAGTGGTGTCACACAGGCAGTGGTGTCACACAGGAAGTGGTGTCACACAGGAAGTGGTGTCACACAGGAAGTGGTGTCACGCTCCCCCTGGTCACACAGGAATTGGTGTCACGCAGGAAGTGGTGTCACGCTCCCCCTGGTCACGCAGGAAGTGGTGTCACGCTCCCCCTGGTCACGCAGGAAGTGGTGTCACGCTCCCCCTGGTCACGCAGGAAGTGGTGTCACGCGCCCCCTGGTCACACAGGAAGTGGTGTAACGCTCCCCTGGTCACGCCGGAAGTGGTGTCACACAGGAAGTAGTGTCTCACAGGAAGTGGTGTCACGCTCCCCCTGGTCACACAGGAAGTGGTGTCACGCGCCCCCTGGTCACACAGGAAGTGGTGTCACGTTCCCCCTGGTCACGCAGGAATTGGTGTCACACAGGAAGTGGTGTCACGTTCCCCCTGGTCACGCAGGAAGTGGTGTCACACAGGAAGTGGTGTCACGTTCCCCCTGGTCACACAGGAAGTGGTGTCACACAGGAAGTGGTGTCACGTTCCCCCTGGTCACGCAGGAAGTGGTGTCACACAGGAAGTGGTGTCAAGTTCCCCCTGGTCACGCAGGAAGTGGTGTCACACAGGAAGTGGTGTCACGCTCCCCCTGGTCACACAGGAAGTGGTGTCACGCTCCCCCTGGTCACACAGGAAGTGGTGTCACACAGGAAGTGGTGTCACGTTTTCCCTGGTCACGCAGGAAGTGGTGTCACGTTCCCCCTGGTCACGCAGGAAGTGGTGTCACACAGGAAGTGGTGTCACGTTCCCCCTGGTCACGCCAGAAGCGGTTCAACCCGCACCCATTGGCGCCTGTTTGGGAGGTCGGAGCCAGGCACCCGGACGGGGGGACTGCGGGTCGCTTGCGCGGTCCTCGTTGGGCACTTTCGCGGCTCTCCATTCGTCGCTGCGGCCAGTGCGGGGGGTGTCCCACGTGCGCCGCTCTCAGGACTGTGGTGTCTCCCGCGCTGGGTGTTGGGCGTGGTGCTGGCCTCCCAACCCCTCGGGTAGCATGCCGACCTTCACTCGCCCTTATCGGCGGACGAGGAGTTCCCCGGTGCTCTGATGATGATGATGGGGCCTCTTATCTCGAACGGGGAAACTCTGCGATGGGTTGAGGGGGCTGAGTGGGTGAGAGGTGAGGACGGGGGTGAGATCCCCCCCCCTCCCACCTCAGGGGTCAAAGTCGCACGAAGTCACCCGGCGTTTCGGGCAGAGAGATAACGACTCTCCAGAGAGATAACGACTCTCCAGAGAGATAACCTCGCAGCGAGAAACCTCGCAGCGAGAAACCTCGCAGCGAGAAACCTCGCAGCGAGAAACCTCGCAGCGAGAAACCTCGCAGCGAGAAACCTCGCAGCGAGAAACCTCGCAGCGAGAAACCTCGCAGCGAGATCTCTCGCGCTGTGACTCCTTGACTCATTCACTCGCTCAATCTCTCGCTTGCTCGCACACTCACTCAATCTCTCGCTTGCTCACACGCTCACTCACTCGCTAATTCAGAATCCGAATCCTCAGGTCATACTGCAGGAGGAATTCGATGAGCTATGAAGCTATTTTTCACAAATGTCACCAAGTCGCTCAAACTTTCGCTCGCTCATTAGACCCACCCTCTAGGTAACTCTCTCGCGCATTCACTCAATCGTTCATTTCCTCACTCTCTCACTCACCCTGTCGCTCGCTCAAACCAGCTGCCACTTGTCTCTGTGCGCGCGCGACGGATGGGCCGTGCTGATGGAGAGAGGGAGGAGCTCGCGGCTTGCCCCCGCCGCGTGTGCCAGTCGAGCCTCCCAGAGATGTGGTATCGTCTCCCCCTCGCTCTTTCCGACTCTCAGCCGCTCAAGCCCCTCTCTGTACCAGCGTGGACGGCACCCTCGTGGTGTTCACCTTCTGAAGCGCTCGCTCGTCACCGTGGCGTGCGCGATGACCGCCACCACCACGTGACTTTTCTTTCGTGTTGTGCGCGGTGCTTTTAGCGCCACAGCGCGTCGATTTGTAGCGTTTATTTTCATTTGTTTACTGGTGACTTTGTGTATTTCATATCGAAATCGCCTCCAGTGCTTTTGCTGCTAGCGGCAATAAAAGTTGTTTAAAAAGTCAAAAAGTCTTTCCGACTCTCTCTCTTCTCTCCTGCTCTGCTCCTCCTCGTCTCCTCCCCTCTCCCTCTCTCGTCTCCTCCCTCTCCTCCCGTGCCCCAGGCGTGGTCATCCAGACGTGGATCCTCAACTGGTTCCGCGTGGTGCCGCTGAGCGCCATCGACCAGGCGGTGATGTCCTACGGCGGCCTGCGCGGCGCCGTCGCCTTCGCGCTCGTCGCGCTGCTCGACGAGCAGCTGGTGCCCGAGAAGCGCCTCTTCGTGAGCACCACCATCATCGTCGTCTTCTTCACCGTCATCTTCCAGGTGCGCGGGTGGTGGTGACGGTGGTGACGATGATGATGGTGGTGGTGGTGATGAGGATAATTGTGTTGGGTGGTGTTGAGGTCGATGAAAATGGTGGTCAGGGTGAACGGTGATGATGTTTTAAGTGAATGTGGTGGTGATGATGTTAATGATGACGGTGTATGACGGTGCAGGGTCTCACCATTAAGCCGCTAGTGAACTGACGGTGTGTGGTGGTGCGTGGTGATGGTGTGTGATGGTGGTGATGGTGGTGATGGTGGTGATTGTGTTAGATGGTGGTGATGGTGTTGTGTGATGGTGCAGGGTCTCACCATCAAGCCGCTAGTGAATTGGCTCCGTGTGGAACGCAGCCACCACCGGGAGCCCAAACTCAGCGAGGAGATGCTCGACCGGGTGAGGGAGAGGGACACTCTCACTCCTCCTCACACTCCTCCTCACACTCCTCCTCACACTCCTCCTCACACTCCTCCTCACACTCCTCCTCACACTCCTCCTCACACTCCTCCTCACACTCCTCCTCACACTCCTCGTCACACTCCTCGTCACACTCCTCACACTCGTGGTGTGGCCTGCACGGTGATGCGTCCCCTGTGGGTGGGGCCTGGCCCGTGGTGTCTCTTGGCGTGTTGTGGGGGTGACACGTGGTGTCCCCGTGTGTTGTGGCTGAACTTGTGGTGTGGTCGCCCCCCCCCCCCCCCCCAGGCGTTCGACCACATCCTGTCTGCCGTAGAGGACATCTCCGGGGAGTACGGCCACCACTACGTGAGACACAAGTAGGGTACCCCCCCCTCTCCCTCACCCCCCCCTCTCCCTTACCCCCCCCTCTCCCTTACCCCCCTCGATTCTATCTCTCCCTCCCCTCTCTAATCTCTCGACTCTCCCTCATCTACATCCCAGACGCTCCACTTGCCTCTCATCGCTTCTCGCTTAACTCTCACCCCCCCCCCGCCCGCCCCCCCAGATGGGAGTACTTCGACTTCAAGTACCTGAACCCCATCCTGATGCGCAAGTCGGCACGGCGCAACCGCTGTCTGCTGTGGGACGTCTACCACAGCCTCAACGTGCAGGACGCCATCAACTTCGTGAGCCAGGTTCGACCCCCACCCCCCACCCCTCACCCCCCCCACCCCTCACCCCCCGCCAGGCCCCAGCGGCCACTTGGCCCGAGGGCGCACGAATGCACGGGCCCTGCACGTGCGTGTGTACGTGCGTGTGTGTGCGTACGAGTGTGTACGAGTGTGTGTGCATACGAGTGCGTGTACGTACGAGTGTGTGTGCGTGCGTACGAGTGTGTGTGCGTACGAGTGTGTGCGTGCGTACGAGTGCGTACACGTGTGTGTGCGTGCATGTGCGTGCGTGTGCGTGTGCGTGCGTGTGCGTGCGTGCGCGCGTGCGTGCGTGCGTGCGCGCGTACGAGTGTGTGTGTGTGCGAGTGTGTGTGTGCGTGCGTGCGAGTGTGTGTGCGTGCGTGAGAGTGTACGTATGTACGAGTGCGTGCGTACTTACGAGTGTGCTCGACTCGGCCTCAAACGAGTACCCGGTGCGGTGTGTAAACATCGCCACTGGGGAGACAAAGGCGGCCGGGCGTGGTGCTGGCCACCCAGCCCCTCGTGTGCCGTGCCGACCTTCATCGGAGCCGCTGCTCGCTAACGGCACTCGCCCCCCCCCCCGCCCCCCGCCCCGCCCCCCCCCGCCCAGGGTGAGCGCAGCGGCTCGCTGGCGTTCATCCACTCGACGGGCCCCGAGCGCGTCACCTCCAGCATCGACTTCGTGGGGCTGCGACGAGCCTCCGAGGTGTCCGTCGCCAACATGTAGTGAGTACACCACCGCCGCCATGGTCAGCCACACCACCACCACCATCACCACCACCACCACCATCACCACCACCTCCACCATGGCCAGCCACACCACCACCACCACCATGGACAGCCACACCACCACCACCTCCACCACGACTCAGCCACTCCATTACCACCACCACTACAACCACCATGGTTCAGCCACAACACCACCACCACGTGGACGTTCACACCACCACCACGGTGTGTGTCCCCCCCCCCCCACGCGTGTGACCCAGCCGCAGGGAGAGTGCGGCCGGCTCTCTGGCGGTGACGCAGCTCGACCTGCACGCCATGGAGCGCGGCGGCGCCAAGAGCGGCCGGCACCGCGAGGACGTCGTCACTCACCGCATGCTGCGCGACAACCTCTACTCACCACGCAGACACGTACGCTCGCCATGCTCACCACGCTCACCACGCTCACCACGCTCACCTCGCTCACCACACTCACCACACTCACCACGCTCCTCACTCACCACGCTCCTCACTCACCACGCTCCTCGCTCGCCGCACGCTGCGCGACAACTCAGAGTCGCCCCACAGACGCACTCGCTCACCCCCCCCTCGTCCCCCCTCCCCCCCCCCGCGTCCCCCCTCCCCCCCCGCGTGCAGGTGCAGTCCCTATACAGCCGCCAGGCTGCGGGCACCAGCAGCGTGCAGGAGCAGCAGCAGAAGGAGATCTTCAAGCGCACGATGCTCAAGCGCCTCGAGTCGTTCAGCCAGAGCAAGCAGGGACGCCACGGGAACCGCTCGCACCGCGGGAGCAAGGTGGGGGGGGGGGGGGGCTGGGGGGTTGGGGGGCTGGGGGGACATGGGGAGGTGCGGGTGTGAAGAGGAAACTCCCCCCTCCACCATCTCTCCCCTCCCACCATCTTCTTCCCCCCCCACCATCTCCTCCCCCCCCTCCCACCATCTCCTCCCCCCCCTCCCACCATCTCCTCCCCCCCCCACCACCTCCTCACCACCATCTCCTCCCCCTCACCACCATCTCCTCCCCACCACCTCCCCCTCCTTACCCTCCCACCACGATAATTCACGTGGTAGCGGGCGCTGCCACACGCCGTCTGCCCCCCCCCCCCACCGCGCGCTGCCGTGACGTCGATCGCAAAGAGTTGGCCATTGTGTGCCGGCATCGCGGCTCGGGCTGCCGCGATGGATCAACACCCCGCCCTGCGGGTCACTCACACGGGATCGCGAGGTCGCTATCGCACCCCCCCCAGCCCCGCACCGGTACTGCTGGCCGTGACAGCTCTTGCCCCAACGGCCTGCTAAGGGCTACGTGGGGAACCTTTGTCTTTGTGCGCACGTGTGCAGGTGAACGGGGAACTCATTCCCAACGGGTTCTGCCCCCTGCCGCAGAAGTCTGTGAGCTGGGTGGAGAAAGGTGAGTTTGAGAGGGTTGGTGAGCTGGTGAGCAGTGGTGAGTGTTGGTGAGCGGCGGTGGTGAGTGCTGGTGAGCTGGTGAGCAGTGGTGAGTGTTGGTGAGCGGCGGTGGTGATGTCGATTGAGAGAGGGAGGTGTTGGTGAGTGTTGGTGAGCGGCGGTGGTGAGTGTTGGTGAGCGGCGGTGGTGAGTGTTGGTGGGTTGGTGAGTGTTGGTGAGTGGCGTTGGTGAGCGTTGGTGAGTGGTGAGCATTGGTGAGCGTTGGTGAGTGGCGGTGGTGAGTGTTGGTGAGTGTTGGTGAGTGTTGGTGAGCCGGTGGTGAGTGTTGGTGAGCGTTGGTGAGTGGCGGTGGTGAGTGTTGGTGAGCGGCGGTGGTGAGTGTTGGTGAGTGTTGGTAAGTGTTGGTAAGTGTTGGTGAGTGGCGGTGGTGAGTGTTGGTGAGCGGCGGTGGTGAGTGTTGGTGAGTGTTGGTGAGTGTTGGTGAGTGGCGGTGGTGAGTGTTGGTGAGTGGCGGTGGTGAGTGTTGGTGAGTGTTGGTGAGTGCGGTGGTGAGTGTTGGTGAGCGGCGGTGGTGAGTGTTGGTGAGTGTTGGTGAGTGTTGGTGAGTGTTGGTGAGCGGCGGTGGTGAGTGTTGGTGAGCGGTGGTGGTGAGTGTTGGTGAGTGTTGGTGAGTGTTGGTGAGTGGCGGTGGTGAGTGTTGGTGAGCGGTGGTGGTGAGTGTTGGTGAGCGGTGGTGGTGAGTGTTGGTGAGTGTTGGTGAGTGTTGGTGAGCGGCGGTGGTGAGTGTTGGTGAGCGGTGGTGGTGAGTGTTGGTGAGTGTTGGTGAGTGGCGGTGGTGAGTGTTGGTGAGTGGCGGTGGTGAGTGTTGGTGAGTGTTGGTGAGTGTTGGTGAGTGTTGGTGAGCGGCGGTGGTGAGTGTTGGTGAGCGGTGGTGGTGAGTGTTGGTGGTTTGGTGAGTGTTGGTGAGTGGCGGTGGTGAGTGTTGGTGAGCGGTGGTGGTGAGTGTTGGTGATGTTGGTGAGCGGCGGTGGTGAGTGTGGTGAGTGTTGGTGAGCGGCGGTGGTGAGTGTTGGTGAGTGTTGGTGAGTGGCGGTGGGAGTGTTGGTGAGTGTTGGTGAGTGTTGGTGAGTGGCGGTGGTGAGTGTTGGTGAGTGGTGGTGGTGAGTGGTGAGTGTTGGTGAGTGTTGGTGAGTGTTGGTGAGTGTTGGTGAGGGCTGGTGGTGAGTGTTGGTGAGGTGAGTGTTGGTGAGTGTTGGTGAGTGTTGGTGAGCGGCGGTGGTGAGTGTTGGTGAGCGGCGGTGGTGAGTGTTGGTGAGTGTTGGTGAGCAGCGGTGGTGAGTGGTGAGTGTTGGTGAGCGGCGGTGGTGAGTGTTGGTGAGTGTTGGTGAGTGGGTGAGTGGCGGTGGTGAGTGTTGGTGAGTGGTGGTGGTGAGTGTTGGTGAGTGTTGGTGAGTGTTGGTGAGCGGCGGTGGTGAGTGTTGGTGAGCGGTGGTGGTGATGTTGGTGAGTTGGTGAGTGTTGGTGAGTGTTGGTGAGTGGCGGTGGTGAGTGTTGGTGAGTGGCGGTGGTGAGTGTTGGTGAGCGGTGGTGTGAGTGTTGGTGAGTGTTGGTGAGTGTTGGTGAGTGTTGGTGGTGAGTGTTGGTGAGTGTTGGTGAGTGTTGGTGAGTGTTGGTGGTGAGTGTTGGTGAGTGTTGGTGAGTGTTGGTGAGTGGTGGTGGTGAGTGTGGTGGTGAGTGTTGGTGAGTGTTGGTGAGCAGCGGTGGTGAGTGGTGAGTGTTGGTGAGCGGCGGTGGTGAGTGTTGGTGAGTGTTGGTGAGCGGCGGTGGTGAGTGTTGGTGAGTGTTGGTGAGCGGCGGTGGTGAGTGTTGGTGAGTGTTGGTGAGTGTTGGTGAGTGTTGGTGAGTGGTGGTGGTGAGTGGTGGTGAGTGGTGGTGGTGAGTGTTGGTGAGTGTTGGTGAGTGTTGGTGAGTGTTGGTGAGTGGCGGTGGTGAGTGTTGGTGAGTGGCGGTGGTGAGTGTTGGTGAGTGTTGGTGAGTGTTGGTGAGTGTTGGTGAGTGGCGGTGGTGAGTGTTGGTGAGTGGTTGGTGCGTGTTGGTGAGTGTTGGTGAGTGCGGTGGTGGTGAGTGTTGGTGAGGGCGGTGAGTGTTGGTGAGCGGTGGTGGTGAGTGTTGGTGAGTGTTGGTGAGCGGCGGGGTGAGTGTTGGTGAGCGGCGGTGGTGAGTGTTGGTGAGCGGCGTTGGTGAGTGTTGGTGAGTGGCGGTGGTGAGTGTTGGTGAGTGTTGGTGAGGGCGGTGGTGAGTGTTGGTGAGGTGTGAGTGTTGGTGAGTGGTGGTGAGTGTTGGTGAGTGGCGGTTGAGGTGAGTGTTGGTGAGTGGCGGTGGTGGTGTTGGTGAGGGTGGTGAGTGAGTGTGGTGAGTGTTGGTGAGTGGCGGTGGTGAGTGTTGGTGAGCGTTGAGTGTGGTGAGTGTTGTGAGTGTTGGTGTGAGCGGTGGTGAGGTGGTGAGCGGCGGTGGTGAGTGTTGGTGAGCTGGGGTGGTGAGCGGCGGTGGTGAGTGTTGGTGAGGTGGCGGTGGTGAGTGTTGGTGAACGCTGTGGTGAGTGTTGGTGAGTGTTGGTGAGTGTTGGTGAGTGGCGGTGGTGGAGTGTTGGTGAGCGGCGGTGGTTGAGTGTTGGTGAGTGTTGGTGAGTGTTGGTGAGTGTTGGTGAGCGGCGGTGGTGAGTGTTGGTGAGCGGCGGTGGTGGAGTGTTGGTGAGTGTTGGTGAGCGGGCGGTGGTGGAGTGTTGGTGATTGGCGGTGGTGAGTGTTGGTGAGTGGCGGTGGTGAGTGTTGGTGAGTGTTGGTGAGTGTTGGTGAGGCGGCGGTGGTGAGTGTTGGTGAGTGTTGGTGAGTGTTGGTGAGCGGCGGTGGTGAGTGTTGGTGAGTGTTGGTGAAGTGTTGGTGAGCGGCGGGTGGTGAGTGTTGGTGAGCGGCGGTGGTGAGTGTTGGTGAGCGGCGGTGGTGAGCGTTGTGGCTCCCCGTGTGGTGCGAGCCAGACTCGCTGTCCGCTGACCGAGTCGGAGGCAGACCGGCCGCTCCGAGTGCAGCGAGGCCTCCGAGCTCTCCTCCATGGAGCCGGGCGCCATCACCTTCATGGCGCGCTCGCCCAGCCAGCTCGTGTCCGACCTGCGCCAGGGTGAGTGGGGGAGGGGCACGGTGGCTATGAGATGTTAACTACCTCGCCTGGTGTACAGGAGGTCGTGGGTTCGATCCCGACCCTGGCGCCTGCTGCTGTTGCTGCGGTGTATTTGGAGTCTGCGGTGTTTCTCTTCCCGTGGCCGCGTGGATTTTTATCCGGGTCCTCCGGCTTTCCCCTCCACATTTAGAATCAACGTCTCCCCTCCGCCCCTCTCTCTATCCCCCGCCACCTCCGCTCGTCTCCATCCCTCCTCTGCCCCCCCCCCCTCCCAACAAACCAGCGCTGGGGGGCTACGAGAACCCGGCGTTCGCCGCCGACGACCCCGCCTCCGGCTGGGGGGACGCGGGGGCCTGGGAGGGGGGCGAGCTGCCGTGGAGGCGAGGGGACGAGCGGGCGACCCCGTCGGCGCGCGCCCAGAGGGCCATCCCCCAGACCCCCGGGGGCTTCCCGCGGCTGACCCCGCTGCGCGCCAGCACTCGCTCCACCGACTCGTTCGCGCTCGCCGACATCCCCGAGGAGGAGGGGGGCCGCGTGGGCTGGGGCCGCTCCCGCTCGAGCACGGTCGTCTCGCTCGTGCCGGGCTCCGTGGCGACCGCCGCCGCCGCGGGGACCCCCGGGGCTGCCGGGGAGGCGCGCGCAGCGGCTGACGAGCAGCGCGGCGGCGGTGCAGGAGAGTCGAGCTACATGTGAGAGGTGGTGATGGCGGCGGTGGTGGTGATGATGATGTTGTGGACACACGTGGGTGGAGTGTGTGAGGGTATGTGTGTGAGGAGCGGTGGCGCAGCGGTTGGCGTGCTGCACTACGAAACTGATCCACGCTCACGACCACCAACACCGGTAGCGATTATCTGAACCGGCCCTTGGCCTCCCTTAGGTCGACTCAGCCTCAAATGAGTACCTGGTGCGGCGTGTAAACGTCACCACGAGGGAGACAAAGGTGGCCGGGCGTGGTGCTGGCCACCCACCCCCTCGTGTGCCGTGCCAGCCTTCATCGGTGCTACTCACTAACAGCACTTTCCCCAAAAGGCAATACGGGGGGCGGGGGGGGGTAGGATCTTTGTGTTTGTCCCATGTGCGTGTGTCCCATGTGCGCGCGTGTGCGTGTGTGCGCGGAGTTGTCTCTCACACCGCACACTACACCAAAGTTCAATTCCAGACCGCGACCACACACACGCACGCACGCGCACCATGCCCCACGCGTGTACCCCCAGTACCGGACGCTGGTGTCGGGGTGGGTTGGCCAATTGCGGGGTAGCATAGATAAAGTACAGCACAATAATCTAGGGTTGCTGTACTGCACACCATCGTCCCGCGGTAGCCTTTAGCACCTGCTATGCACGGTCCGGACTGATCGCAGCGGGCACGCTCTGATCAGAATGATTGCTGCCGCTCAATTGTATGGCATGATAGTTCTTGCTGGGTTAGAGTAAAAACTAAAATGTCTATACGTGTTGAAAAATCGACATTTTATGAAAATATTTAATGTATCCTCAACTATTGACAGGATATTAAATAACTGTTAAATAATTTCCATAGAGTTCTAATCGCATTTACGCTTGTTTGCACGTGCCTTTTTTTACACTAACCAATAAATTACACGTTTTGATAATCGAGGACACATAACATCAACAAAGGGTAGTGAACACGTTCAATCGTCAAACGTTTAATTGTCACACGTAGATAAGCAAATCAACATTGCTGTGGAATTTTTGGAATCTTCAACACGGAGCCGTCCCCTAGGGGTACGCGGCGAGTCGGGACGACCGCCCCGGGCCCCGCGCTTTAAGGGGGGGGGGGGGCGGGGGCGCGCTTGGACGTCACAGTCCCACACTCCCCACGAAGGAAGACCCCGATGCTATATGTGCGGGGACTCCTCTACTTACGAACACTCGACTTGCGAGATTTCAGAGATACGAACAAACCTGCCCCCCCCCCCCCCGTATGTTATTTTGCCTGTTCGAGCCGAGCGCCGTAAGTTCAGCCGCCGCGCAATAGTTGGCAGTGGTGGTGGCGACATCGACATCAGCAGAGCGTGAAGCAGCGGTGGCACCTACGTCTACGGGAGACTATACAACTTTTAAAGCCATTCCCGTGTTGAGTGTACACGCCGTACAGCACGTTTGGAATCGATAGGAGTAAAGTTGGCGTTACGAACAAATCGACTTACGAACAGACCTCTGGAACCTCACTAGTTCGTAAGTAGAAAAGTCCCTGCATATCAAGAAATGTCAAACGTAGCAACAGTAAATATCATGCCATAGGCGGGCGCCTTCAGATGTGATCGATGCGCCCTGTCCAAAACACTGACTGCTGGTCGTAATCTTGCACATTACCATTCTGACCCCCCTTCCCACACCACACTTCCCAAAAATATATATTGTATATACTGTAGTGAGATATATATGTATACTGTAGGGGGAGGCGGGATCTATATTTGTTTTGCACATGCGTGGAAAAGTTCGGGTTTATACGTTTTGGAGTGATTGCCACAGGTGGTGTCTGTGTGTGTGAAGGCTATACGGGGGATCTTTGTCTTTGTACGTGTGGGGAGTGGTGGCGCAGTGGTCAAAGCACACGCGCTGCACTCTACTGCCAAGCCGGCGACCTGAGTGACGGCGAGCATCTGAACCGGTCCTGGTTATCTGCCTAGATCGACTCGGCCTTAAACAAGTACCTGGTGCGGTGTATATTAAACATCAACACTGGGGAGACAAAGGCGGTTGGGCGTGGTGCTGGCCACCCACCCCTCTCGTGTTGCCGTGCCGGCCTTCATATATGCTCGATCACACCACTGGGGGGCCCCTTACGTCTACACGAGTGATCTTTGTGTGTGCGCGTGCAAGATACACGTGTGTACGAATGTGTCTTGAAATAGGTACCATTTGGCCGGAGACGTCACCTTAACGCTTGGCATTGGACATACGTGGTTTAGCATGCAGTACAGCAAATAGGTTTTGCTTTTCACACAGACGTGGCACGCTCCGGTGTTGAACTCGTTTGTCTCCAGGTGAGAGAGACTCTCTCGCGAGGCCAGGATGGTGCGTGAGCGGTTGACCCGGGTCGCCAAACATCATACCAAAAGTAAATACTAAAATATTGGCAGCAAATAGAAGCTAAGAGAAATCTGAGATTTAAAAAAAATCACAAACATTAATTTCTTACGCACTGCACTTACCCGATGTTTGTTAAACAAATCCCACGCGACGTGATGCTCCGCCCCCCACGTCACGAGGGACACATACGTAGGCACACGCGCGCACACAATCACACGTGCACATGCAGGCACACACGTGCACATGCAGGCACACGCGCGCACACAATCACACGTGCACATGCAGGCACACACGTGCACATGCAGGCACACACGTGCACATGCAGGCACACACGTACACAAGCCACGTATGCACAGGCACACAACAACAGCCGCCACCATTCCCCACTACGTGGCAGTGACGCTTGTGCCAGGCTACGTGCACTTTGAGGCCACGTGAAGTGTAGAAGGCCCGCTGCTGGCAGGTCACGAGACAGACCCAGGTGGTGCCGTGGGTTGACTGACTGAGATGACTGGCAGATGCACCAGCTGTGCCCCCTACCGTGCCAACACACACAGACACAAGCGCGTACACGTTACATTAATCCGCACGTATCACGCGGAACCTGTTTTGCATCAGACGCGAGCAGTGTGTAGCCACCTAATTTATATTTGTCAAATATTAATATCAATAGATAATGATGATTGTGTGCTTATGTATGACGCAATTAAACTCCAAACACAATCAATAAGAGCGCCGCGTGTGACTTCAAAACACCGATAATAGGCGACGTTTCGGGCAACGGCCCTTCTGCAAAGCACACAGAGGCCCAGGACAGTGTGGAACGTTGTATATGTTTTGTTTTCCTTTCAAGGCCACGCCTGGCGTTGTTGTTGTTGTTGAGGAGCGCGTCGAGTCGCCGTTAGACCACCACTGCCATCACAGCAGCATCGCCACCCAGAGGTTAGCGGCGAGCAAGGACCCCGAAACCTCGCACAGAGGGCCTTGGCCAATGGACATGTGGCTGGCAGTCCACCTGCAGCATCGGTCCCAGCGAAAACGCGATTCTGCGGCCAATGAGACACTGCGTGTCGAAACCAGTCCAGAGTTTTGCCTGCGTTGAACCATTGCTGGCTGCTGAAATGATCAACGCTCCCAGCGAGAGGGGAGGTGGTGCGTGCCTGTGGCTGATGGGATGCGTGGAGCGGTTCGCGCGCTGCGCTGCGAACCCCGTGCCAACCAAGTTCGACTCCCGCTCACGGCTACCAACAACGGTATGATTATTATCTGGATTGGTCAACTCGGCCTCGACAGAGTACCTGGTGCGGTGTGTAAACATCGCCACTGGAGAGACGAAGGCGGCCGGGCGTGGTTGCTGGCCACCCACCCCCGCGGCCTTCATAGGTGCTTGTGAACAGCACCAACAGTCCGAGGCTACACGGGGGGTGGGGGGGGGGGAGATCTTCGTCGTTGACGGGATGAGTGGCTGATTGGATGTAAAAAAAATAACCACTAACACAACTTTGTGGAGGTGCTGGTGAAGATGTATTGTCTGCGATATTTATTGAGTAACGTATATTTGGCCGTGGAAGCTCTGTGCGGTGACCCCTTGCGGTGACCCCCTGTGGTGACCCCCGTGGTGGTGTCTGGCAAGGAGTAACTCTGCGTGTGAAGGCTTCGGCGTCGTGTGCCGCGACTCGGACGAGACCCTGACGATGAACCTGCAGCAACAGGCCTCGGCACTCTGCTGATCGCGAGTCTTCGGGCTCGTGTCGTCGTCGTCGTCGCTGTTCTTGTTGCTGTTGTTGTCACACTGTAATATACAGGCTGTTGTTGATGTCACACTAATATACAGGCTGTTATTGATGTCACTAATATACAGGCTGTTGTTGTTGATGTCGCACTGTAATATACAGGCTGCTGTTGTTGATGTCACTAATATACAGGCTCGGTGGAAGTTTGCGAGTTCAAATCCTTGTTATGAAGGGGGTGGGGAGTGGGCGGTAGTTGACTTAGCCTAGCATCATCCCAGCGGGGTCGATAAAATAAATACCACGTTGTGGTGAAGTCAACAGCGCGTTGGTCTATGTATGCACCTCCCCCCCCCCCGCCATAGGATGTGGAATGTAAACCGCTGGCTCTGCAGCAGCAGGGCTGTGTTTTTGAATGTAGGACGCGCACCGTGTGTATTCACGATAATCGTATCGTCCGTTCAGTAACGTAGCATCAAATAATTATACAATAGCGACTTGAACCGTGTGTGTGTTGATGAATAGCTTGGGTTTTGCGAAACAAATGTTTGATTTTTCTTCACGATCATCGACCGGTGTGGATGCAGTTTTCGACATTCGATGTTTCATCAGCAGCAGGGTCGGGCGTGGCTAGACCCAATGGTGTACGTGAAACTGCCTGCCAGATGTTAATTGGCAAGCCCCCCCCCCCCCCCTCGTGTTAGACGGCTGGTCCTGGATCCAAGCAAAACTCGATGACTGGCAGCACAGCATCATCATGAGTGTGTCGGAGCGGAGAACATTAAGTACAGAATAATTAAGCGTACAATTAGGCTCCTGTCACAGTTTGTCTCTCCACATTAAAAGTACTTTAAAGAACATTTAAACATCCCATCGGCCATACGGCCTTCCGGGGGGGGGGGGGGGTGAAGGTTCAACACCAAACTCAACCCTGCTGATGAGACACTGAATGTCGAAACCGGCTCAGGGTCAATGCCGCGGGTGAATTGCCCAGATGTTGAATGGCAAGGCGAGTCGCCTCGTGGGCAGCTGTGTGCAGGTGACCCCAGAGTCACTCGCCCTCACCCACACACCCTTCCCAATTCCAACCAAACACACCCCACCCCACCCACACACTCCACCCACACACCCCTCCCACCCACCCAACACACCACACCCCACCCAACACACCCCACCCACACACCACCCCACCCACTCCACCCACACACCACACCTCACCCACCCCTCCCACTCCTCCCACCCATCCCACCCCGACCCCTCCGGAGCGGAGAAGTGAAACCCGGCATGGATTTCCAGGCGCGGAGTGGAGTGTCGAGTCCGCGTTGTCGGTGACCCTCCCCCTCCCCGTGCCTACGGCGAAGCTGTTCGGAACGAGAGCAATAAAGAGAAGAGCAATCCGCGTGATGAGCACCCAAACTCACGCAGCAACCACGCGTGCTCCGTCTCGTTTGTTCCGTCTCGGGTTTCTCTCGGTCTGCCTCGATTGTTCCCGGCTCTCTTCTTAACCGGGGGAGGAGGCGGGAATCCATAATCCTCGGCCAGAATTTCTCAAAGTCCAGTCCGGGTTTTGTAATGAATTGTCACTTGTTGACTGACGCGTTGTCGCCTGTGGATGCAAGGGGCGTCCACTGACAACACGGCGGTCACGTGGCGTCACGTGGACAATCGGACTATTTATACTACAGCAGGAAAATTAACCCGATGAGCTATGAAGCTGTTTGTTTGACAGATGTCCAGTTGGGGCACGGGCTCAGAACGTTACAACAACAAACAGTACAACAACACGATAGGAGTGAAAAGTATTAGGAAGGTAAACAAATCACTTAGAAAAATATTGGGACGCTGTCTTTCCGACAGCTTTGTTTCTTCACCTGAGGACGGCTACTTGTGTTGTGCCCGAAACGTCGTGAATTTTTATTTTATGATGTTTTATTGTTATTATTTTATTATTTCCCTTCTACGTGACTTTACCAAAAGAACCAATAAGATATTAATACAACTTTTTTTTTACCAGGTAAAGCCCCACTGAGCTATTAGCTTCTGTTCCAGAAGCGACCTGGCCCCATGATAGCTCAACCAAGTGGCTTATCACGTGGAAATTAATATCAGCTAAATAATTATAATCTGAATGTGTAGCCTTTAAAAGACGGATGGAGAAAGAATCGGCCTTATTCTTGGGTCTTTCGGTAAAGTCATGTAGATTGGTTCAAAGAAAATAACAAAAAAGTAACAAAACTACGACGTTTCGATCGCAACACAAGCGGTCGTCTTTAGGAAAGGGGGGTCTCCACATTGACTCGCCCACCTACAAACTGCCCCGATTTCTGTCTGAGACCTAACAACCATTCACTGGTAAGACCATCTCAGCTGCACTCAATTCAGCTCACTTGGTATCGTTCATTAAGGGCATCTCACGATCTCCAGGTGATTTGCTCATGAGTTTCGATGTGGCCTCTTTACCAAAGTTCCTGTGCTTGACACCATGCAATTATTGAAATTTTGGTCCAATATGGACTCAATGCTGATGTATCGGCCCTTGTGAGACACTCATCAACACTTACTTCACTTGGAATGGAACATTCTACAAACAAGTTGAAGGTACCCAAATGGGGTTTCCCTTATCTCCAGTTGTAGCCAATGTTTGCATGAAAAAATATGATATTGATGCCATCCAGGCATCCACTCTTCGCCCGTTCTTGTGGAAGAGATCCGTAGATGACACGTTCGTCATCTGGCCACATGGCCCACCAGCTCTGAACCAATTCCTCAACCACATCAATTCCATACACCCAGCCAACACATTCACCATGGAGATGGAAAAGGATGGCAAGTTACCATTCTTGGATGTTTTAATCGAAAATAGAACACATTCCTGCGGAGGGAGGAGGTATTAGGAACGTTGGGTTCCTTTGTCAGTGGCCAGGGTAAACGGCGACGTGGTGTATTCCGCAAATATGGCCGACTGTGAGGGCGGGCAGAAACCTATGTGAGTAGGTTAAACGTTGAGTTTTATAAGGGCACCACGGGGTGACCAGCCCCTCCTCACCCAGCCCCTCCCTCCCCACCCAACCCCTCCCTGCACGACGGATGGACAGACACAATAATCCCCTGGGCTGGTGTAACCAGGAGGTTCCTACCGGTACCAGACACTGTCTACAGGAAAGCCACCCATACTGATGCCTACCTAAAACCTGACTCACCACCACCCATCCCAGAATAATTCTCTCCTCAAAACTCTACACCAGGGGTCGGCAACCAAAATAACAAGAAGAGCCATTTCTTTCCAATTCGGTACAAAATTCAGTATTTCAAGAGCCGCAATGCATCTGAGTACATACATACTCATCGTCAAGAAGCAGCCCGTAAAGAGCCGCATTCGGCTCCGGAGCCGTAGGTTGCCGACCCCTGCTCTACACCATAGAGCATGATGTATTTCCGACCGTAATCACCTAGCACGTCAACTGGAGCACGTACACCAAGCTCTCAAGATGAATGGATATTCAGACTACACAATCCGTAAAGCCATCACCCCAACCGTTGGGAAAGAACCATCTGAGGACCCAATCAAAACCATCACCTTGCCATACATAGCAGGGGTCACTAAAAATATTTCCAAAATCAAGAGCAAACACAAGATTAACACAGTTCGATTAACACAGTACATTTTTATTTTATTTTATACCTACATGACTTTGCTGAAATAACCAAAGAGTATGGATTCCTGCAGTTACGAAAGCTTCAAATCTAGACAGTACATACAATTTGTGATCTGATCTCATCTGTGAAGGATATGATCCCTGACATGCAATTACTCGGCGTCTACAAACCAAACTGTGTCTGCGGCAGCAGTTACATTGGGGAAACTAAGCGACATGTTTCGGACCGTGTTCGAGAACATAAGGCAGATCTGAAACACGGTAGGATCATTACCTCGGCCGTGGCTGATAATTGTTTTAATGCGGTGGGCTCACACGAAATTGATTTCTCTAAGACGAAGGTACTTTGCAAGCCCACTGGCTATCAACAAAGATTCGTTCATGAAGCCATCCAGATATATAAACACAGACACAATTTCAACCGAGAAGATGGCTACAAACTAAATAATCATTGGAAGGACGTTATCAACCAGTTTAAGTCCTAACTGGCTGTGATGTTCCCATCGTACCACCTTGCGATGTGAGTTGTGCTTTTCGCCCATTTCAAACTTGCGCTTTCACAGGGTTCACACCAACACAGCCACTTCGCGCGCCGACCTCTTGGTTGCGGCTCTGCGATCTGCCATTAACATTCTAATCTCTCTTTAACATTCTAATCTCTCATTAACATGCTAATCTCTCATTAATATGCTAATTTTCACCTGGCAGCCCTTTGATGGTGGAAAAGCAACCACCGCCGTGTTGGCTGCCCACCACTCACATTGGCTGTGGCTGCTGATATTTGGGCTACGCCCATTTCAAACCCTTATAAATAGTTTGCTTGAGAAGCTAAACCCCCTTTTCCTGAAGACGACCGCTTGTGGCGAAACGTCGTAGTTTTTTTTGTTATTTTTTGTTATTTTCTTTGAACCTATCTACGTGACTTTACCGAAAGACCCAAGCATATGAATTCCTGCAGTCACGGAAGCTTTAAGTCAAAAGAATCGGTCTAATCTCTTAATTTATCTTGAAGGAATCTGATGAGCTGTTAATATTTTTTGCAGTAGCGAGTAGCACCATCAAGTCCGGGACGGCACACGAGGGCGTGGTGCGCACAACACTCTCGGCCGCCTTTGTCTCCCCAGTGCTCATGTACACTCCGCAAGAGGTTACTCGTTTAAGGTTGAGTCGACCTAGGGGAGGCCCAGGACTGGTTCAGATAATCGTCACTGGTGTTAGTGGTGGCCGTGAGCGGGAATCGAACTCGGGTCGCCGGGTTCATAGCGTAGTGCAGAGCTAACCACTGCGCCACCGCTCCCCCCACACACGGCAAACATGATGGCTCACACACACACTCACACACACACACTCACGCACACGGCAAACATGATGGCTCACGCACACACACACGCACACACGCACACGGCAAACATGATGGCTCACGCACACACACTCACACACGGCAAACATGATGGCTCACACACACTCACACACGCACACACTCACGCACACGGCAAACATGATGGCTCACGCACACACACACTCACACACGCACACGGCAAACATGATGGCTCACGCACACACACTCACACACGGCAAACATGATGGCTCACACACACTCACACACGCACACACACACGCACACGGCAAACATGATGGTTCACGCACACACACTCACACACGGCAAACATGATGGCTCACACTCAACAACAACAACCGCCATTCGCCACTAAGTGGCGGTGACGTCACCACGATGCTTGTGCCAGGCCAAGTGCACCTTGAGGCCACGTGAAGTGTCGAACGCCCGCTGGCAGGAGGTCACGGGGCAGACCCAGGTGCCACGGGTCGACTGACCGAGATGACCGAGATGACTGGCTGATGCACCACCTGTGCCCCCTACTGTACCAACTTGCTGTGCTTTAGCCACCCGGCGCTCCGCTCGTTGTTGTGAGCGTCGCTCCTCCGCCCTCCGTTGTTGTTGGAGGGCGACTGCCTCCAACTGCCCAGTAGCGTCCTTCACGAGCCTCCTCCACTGAGGCCGATCTTGACACCGCTGGTACCAGTCATCGGCAAGTCCACTCAGCTCCACGTCCTCCTGTACCACATCACTCCATCTCTTCTCCAGCCCGTGCCGCGCCCGTCTAGCCCCCTCGATCCGGCCGAACAAAAGCTGTTTAGGCATGCGGTGGCTGGGCTCACACTCACGCACACACACACTCACACACACGCACACGCGTGTGTGTCGTGACGCACCATGTCCTGGGTTGTTACCGATCCGACCTCTTGTTTTGAAAAACCAGTGAAGTCTCCACACGCTGCACGCGCCTGATGATTGCTGAACGCGTCTCTCGATTTGACACTCACGTCAATCGATGTCGAACACATTATTGCTGGTCATGCTGCTGGCAGTGGTGAACACGTACAGCCGGCAACAGCACTGCGGCTGTCGGGTGGCGACGTTTCGCGTCATGGCCCTGCTGCATGGCTCCATCGCATGCCAGCGGAGGGCGGGGCTACCCGCGAAGTGGGCGGAGTCGGTGATTATAATCGAATTTACGGAGTCGGCGACAATCGATTCCTGTGAGTGTTCAGCAGTGGGTTGGTATCGATTCATCGAGTAAAGTTGTCGATTCCCCCCGCGGGACCGCCTCCTGACAAAACCCTGCCTTGCGATTGGTCAACTGGTTTTTTACCCGCGAAAACTCGTCACGTGGTTACCACTTTTGGCGGGAAAGGCACTCGGAGGCGGCGTGTACAGCAGCGGCATCTCCACCTCCACTCACTCGGTGAGAAATACAAGTGGGGGGCACGGGATTACAGGACCCCCCCCCCCCCTCCTCAACGTATCTGCACCGTTGGGGGGGGGGGGGTGCTCCATCGTGTATCGCGAGGGGATACGGCTCGGCTCGCTGACGAGGTCCGCGCGGGTCCCCCAGAGGGCAGAGAGACGCGAGGCGGGCGGGCCGGGGGGGGGTCGCGTCAAAGCGCTGGGCCCGCCGCTCCCGTGTCGGCTTTGCGAGGAGGACGGTTGTCCGAAACGTCGTCCGTCATGTGTTTCCGTTCGGGCCGCTGTTTGTGTGTTTGGAGAATGTGTTGAGTCGCGTTGCGTGTGTGCTCGTGCGCCACTTCCAACGCGTCACCGTACGACAAGTTTGTTTAGTTTTGGCGCGAAAGTCTTTAACAACCTCGAACAGCTGTCACTGTCTTATTTACAACAACAACAATCGCCATCACCACCGTGAGCTGTGGCGGAGGCTGTGGGGGAGGCTGTGGTTGTGGTGTCGCGCGCCCGCCTGTTGCTGTGCGCCCCCGCTGCTCACTCGGCAGTCGCTGTCAAGCGAGGCCTCATCCTAGCACCAACACAAGTCTAGCTCACACTAACACACTAACCTAGCTCACACTAACACACTAACCTAGCTCACACTAACCTAGCTCACACTAACACACTAACCTAGCTCACACTAACACACTAACCTAGCTCACACTAACACACTAGTCTAGCTCACACTAACACACTAGTCTAGCTCACACTAACACACTAGTCTAGTTCACACTAACACACTAGTCTAGCTCACACTAACACACTAGTCTAGCTCACACTAACACACTAGTCTAGTTCACACTAACACACTAACCTAGCTCACACTAACACACTAGTCTCGCTCACACTAACACACCAGCCTAGCTCACACTAACACACCAGCCCAGCTTAGACACTAACACACCAGCCTAGCTTAGACACTAAAACACTAACCTAGCTCACACTAACCTAGCTCACACTAACACACTAACGTAGCTCACACTAACACACTAACCTAGCTCACACTAACACACCAGCCTAGCTTAGACACTAACACACTAACACTGGCCCCAACCAGAACCGGCCCCACGACCTTTGGGGGCCCTAAGCAAAATTTGGTTGGAGGCCCCTTTGATGTATGATTTTTTTCACCCACGAGCTAGCAGTGACTCTAGGGGGCCCTCTGCTGGCCACGGGGCCCTTTGCAATTGCAAGGGTCGCTTAGTGGCTGGGCCGGCTCTGGCCCCAACACTCACCTAGCTCCGATGTAAACTTGAGCTGTACTCTAACCCGTGCCGCTCCGGTCCCTCTGCCCCCCCACCCCTCCTCTCGCCCCTCCCCCTTTGCCCTCTCCAGCCCCCCACGACCAGCAGCAGGACGATGTCTTCTCCACCCTCCACCCCGCAGGGCAGGCGCGGCAAGCGCGGTCGCGAGGCTGCCGGCGACAGCAGCGTGCCCAGCACACGTACGTGGCTGCTGCCCCACCGCCCCCCTCTGCCACCCCCCCCCCCGACCCGTCGCTGCCGCTGCCCTCCTCGTGCTGCCACTCGCTTGCATGCTCGCAATGACATCTCCCACCCCCATCGTTGACATCTGCTGCCCTTATAGTGATATCTCTCTTACTGCCCTCGCCACGGTGGCTATGAGATGTTAACTACCTGGCCCGGTATGCAGCAGGTCGTGGGTTCGATCCCGACCCTGACGCCTGCTGCTGTATATTTGGAGTCTGCGGGGTCTCTCTCTTCCCGTGGCCACGTGGATTTTTATCCAGGTCCTCCGGGTTTCCCCTCCACTTGATAAGCCACTTCGTTGAGCTATCATTTGTGAAAATGAGCTACGTAGCTCATTGGGGCCTTACCTGGCAAAATAAAAAGTTAGTTTAAACATCTCCCTTATGCCATGGCCTCGTGTGGCTGAGAGACAGAGACTCGCAACCAGGAGGGTATTTCCCACCGAGTAAAGCCGAAGAGCTAAAAAGCTCTTTGTCATGGGCCACTCGGCCTGCAGACGACATCAAAGCGTCCCACAGTTCGAGAGTAAATAAATAAAACCAACAAACTTAATAATAATTTCATTTATGTTTTTAAAATTACCTTTTTAACAACATATTAAACTAAGTGATTTTTAATAACACAGTCAGTTTAAGTGAGGACAGAGGAGGCAGAATGGAGATGCCAAAAGACGAAACTTGGGTGCTTCCAAAACAGCCAATTAGTAAGGTTTGTCACGTAAACAAAACGTGCCAATTGGTTACTGTTTCAGCACACACCGGTGTGTTGAAGAGTAAACCCACAACATTTACCATCTTGTTTACGTGGCGGTGTGAGCGGTGTGTATGGTGTGTGTGGTGGTGTGTCTGGTATTTATGGTGGTGTGTGTGCGTGCAGCGGGCTCCGTGGGGGGGTCCCCGCCCCCCCTCCAGCGTGCCCGGCTCTTGGCCGCCGACGCCGTGGCGTCCCCGGGCTCCGCCGACCTCGTGCCGCTGCCCGCGTCCCCGCTGGTGGTCGGCGCCAGTGTGGGCAGCGTGGACAGCGCCGGCGCCCCGAGCCCCGCACGCACCTCGCTCTTCTCCAGCCCCGCGCCGCCCTCGCGCCAGCCCAGCACCATAGGTACCACCACCACCCCCCCAAGTCCTCCTCCACCCTCACGCACCCCCACCCTCGCCTCCCCACGCTCACGCACACTGCGGTGCCAGGACGGTGGTGCCGTGGCCTCGCAGCGGCAAGCTCCTGGGTTCGTTTCCCGACTCGGGTGCTGCCTTTTCTCTGTGTGGAGTTTGCCTCCGCATGAACGGAGAACCGTGTGAGTGTGAGTGAAAGAGTGTGAGCGTGTGAGCTTGTGAACGTGTGAGAGAGGGTGAGAGAGTGAGAGAGTGAGAGAGTGAGCGTGTGAGAGGGTGAGAGTGTGAGAGGGTGAGAGGGTGAGAGGGTGAGAGGGTGAGAGAGTGAGAGAGTGAGCGTGTGAGAGTGTGAGAGGGTGAGAGGGTGAGAGGGTGAGAGGGTGAGAGGGTGAGAGAGTGAGTATGTGAGAGTGTGAGTGAGAGTGAAAGAGTGTGAGCGTGTGAGAGAGAGTGAGGGCGTGAGTGAGTGAGAGTGTGAGTGAGTGGAGTCTGTATGTTCTCTCCCTTGTCTGCGTGAGGTTTCCTCCTCCCATAGCGACACCCACACACACACGGCGGAACTGGTATCAGCCAAACAAACAAACAGCCACATCCCAATGCCATAGGCGGAGTTTGACGTCTATATTTAGGGGGGGGCAGGGGTTTTCTTTGTCTCCCACATTCGGAATTGTAGGTGCATATAATTTATTTATTTTAAATCTTTATTGTAAACTACTGAAAATAAATGGTTTGGGGAGGCCTTGCCCCCCCCCCCCCCCCCTGACCCCCGTGCCCCCCTATCCCAAACTTCGTCCATGCCCAGTGCTGTTGAGAAATTCCCCTGCAAATAATTCAATTTGGAGGCGGCAGGGGAGGCAGAGGTGGCTGCAGCAGCAGAGGCGGCAGTATCATCACCCCCCTTACTGCGGCACCTTGGCAGAACCCTCCTGAAGAAGAGTTGAGACTCGGCGATGCGTTCCTGGGTAAACGAGCAGAATAATAATGATGATTATGATAATACCAAATGCCAGGCTCGAATGGATACCTTTCGATCAGTGCTCTTCATTCATTTTCAGGTGGGCGGGGGAGGTACTTCCGCTGATAAGACATCATCTAGTGTGTGAGGGCCGCCACACGTTTGAAACCATTGGGGGCTTGACAGCAGCAGGATGATGATGGGGGTGCATCAGGGGCTGTACTAAAGCCCACCAGGTAGCCGCCAGTGGCCCACGGGCCTTGCAGTGAAGAACACAGCTCTTGATCATACCAGATGATGCCAGATGCACACCGGTACCATTGGACACTTGGCAGATGCCACCAGATTGCCATGGGCGTCTGTGAGTGCGTGGGAGACAAAGGCGGCCAGGCATGGTGCTGGCCATCACCCACCCCCTCCGGTGCCATTCCAGCCTTCATAGGTACTGCTACTCGCTAACAGCACTTGCTCTAACAGTCTGTTAAGGTTATATGGGGGATCTTTGTCTTTGCAGCGGTAGCTACGAGCCTGGCGAACCGAGTTCGGTTGCCGCTCGCAGTCACCAACACCGGTGATGGTTATGTGAACCGGATCCTGGGCCTTCCCTAGGTGGACGCAACCTTAAAAATTAGCTCCCGGTACGGCGTGTAAATGAACCAACCAGGCCGTGCCGGCGCGGTGGTGCCGGCCACCTCGTGCACGCGCATGCCTTCCCGGCCTTCGTAGGGTGCTACACTTTGCCCTATCAGCTGGCGTGGCCTACCCGGGGCGTCTTTGTCTGTGCAGGAGCGAGCGAGCCGTCTTCCCCGCTGTGCTACGGCACGCCGAGCTCGGGCCGCAGCGGCGCCCGCGGCACCCCCCGGCGCCAGCGCCCCGACCTCGGCTCCGCGCACAAACCCCGGCAGGTGGACCTGGCGGCCGTGGACCAGTCGGTGAGAGACTCGCCCGCTCACCCGCCCGCTCACCCACGCACACTACCACCCACCCGTCCATACACCCACCTGTCGACACACCCACCCACCTACCCGTTCACACCAACCCACCCACATACCCGCCCACCCACTCACTCACACACCCACCTTCGGTTGGCGTGGTTGGTATGGTCGCTGTGGTTGGTACGGTAGGTGTAGTAAGTGCGGTTGGTGCAGTGGCTCTTGGTTGCGGTTGTAACCGCTGTTGCACTCACGGCGGCTGTGGTGGTGGTTGGAGCGCAGGCGGATGACTCGGTGGCGAGCGAGCAGTCGCTGGGACAGAAGCTCGTCATCTGGGGCACGGACGTCAACGTCAACACCTGCAAGGACAAGTTCAAGGTTCGATTCCCGCCTGAGGCTTTTAGAGTTGCTTCGTGGAGTTGCCAGCCCCATACGATGTGAACTGTCTTGGTGGGTGAATGAGTGGATAGTTGAGTGGGTAGGTTGCTGGGTGGGTGAGTGGGAGGGTGGGTGGGTGAATGAGTGGGAGGGTGGGTGGGTGAATGAGTGGGTGAGTGAGAGGCAGGGTGGTCCAATATGCCACAGCCACATTCCGCACCTGTGAACGGGACCTCGTCTCCCCAATCCTCTGATCCCTCCACCGCCTCCCCACCCAGTTCCCCTGCGCCACCCACGAGATCCCTCTCACCGCCTCCTACGTCCTCCATGCACTCACCCCTGCCCCGTTATACGCATTCTCCTACCCATTTTTAACGGTGTACGCGTGCAGCGGTGGCGCAGCGGTTAGCGCATTGCGCTACGAACCCCGGCGACCCGAGCTGACGGTCACCACCAACACCGGCGGCGATTATCCCAATTGGTCCTGGGCCTCCGTCTAGTTCGAGAACCTGTCTCAAATGAGCGCCCGGTGCAGCGTGTCAAAAAGTCGACCCACTGGGGGAGACGGGCGGCCGGGCGGCCGGGCGCGTCGCTGTGCCGCCCACCTGTGCGTCGTGGGTGCGTTGTCCACGTGCGGCACTTGACCCCGCATCCCGCGTGGCCTCCCTGGGGAACCTGTGTCCGTGCGCCTGTGTGTTTGTGCGCTCAGCGCTTCCTGCTGCGCTTCGTGACAAGCGAGGAGCGCGAGGACGAGGACTGCCCCGGGGTCGACCTCGCGGCGCCCCTCTACATGCAGCGCCTCGAGGAGGTGACCGCCCGCTCACTCGCCACTCGCCCACTCGCTTGCTCACTCACCCACTTTCTCGCTCACTACTCACCCACCCTCGCTCACCCGCCCACTTACTCACCAGTTCGCTCACTGACCTGCTTGCTCATCCGCTCGTTCGCCGCTTGCTCATCACTCACTCGCTAGCTCACTCTCCCGCTCGCTCGCTCACCCACTCGCTCACTCACCCATTCGAAATTCACTTGCTCACCACTCACTCACCCACATACTCACCCACCCGCTCTTGCTCTCTCGTCACTCTCCATCTCGTTTGCCACTCACTCGCTCGCTCACCAATTGCCTGCTCGCTCACCCGCTAACCACTCGCCAGTTCACTCGCCACTCGCTCGCCTGCACCACGACGTTGCGTGCGAACCAGTCGCGTCCCTCTCCCGACACTCGCCTGCACCACGATGTTGCGTGCGAACCAGTCGCGTCCCTTGCCTCCCTCTCCCGACACGGCCTCGGCAAATGCAGCTCGCTGCTCGTCGCTCACTTCCTCTCTATGACACATCATCATCATCATAACTATCACTACCATCACCACCATCATCGTCGTTAGCAACAGCATCATAATTATTATTATCATCATCATCACCACGAACTTCATAATCATTACCACCACTATCATTCACAATCGGGTAACCAAGTTATTATATTAATAACTAAAACTATCAGCTATATGTTCATTTTACCAGGTAAGGCCCACTGAGCTACATCGGTCTTTTTTCACAAATTGTACTGCAGCAGCCAAATACTTGAAACGCATGGTGATGTCGATTGTCAATGTGGAGGGCAAAAGCCGGAGGAGCTGGAAAAAATCCACGCGACCACGGGAAGAGAGACACGCAAACTCCAAATACATACAGCAGGCGTCATGGTCGAGACGAACCCAAGGCCTCCTTGAAACCAGGCGAGGTAGTTCACATCTCCGAGCCACCGTGGCGCCCTACATACATGAATGTGTACCTCACCTTCCCGCCCCAGGTGAGTGTGATCGGGGAGCCTTTCCTGAACGTGAACCTGGAGCACCTGCGGCTCTTCGACGCCGACCTCTACCGCCAGCTCGTCAACTACCCCCAGGTAGCGCCCGTACCATGCGCAGCACGCGGAGCGGTGAAGTATGGTTACGCGCCCGCCCCCTACCCCACGGAGCCGTTTGCTCGCAAACAGATGCTGACACTCGCATAGGGACCGATAGACTCTCTCGCTCGCGCGGAGGCCCGTGATTGGCTACTTGTGTAATATAAATGCGCACTCTTTCTGTGTGCAGTGAGTAGGGACGCGGTGTCATTCATGCCGCTTTGTAACACGCACACCGCTCCTGTGGTCGTATCTCAGTGTAAGGGATCAGTGAGATTGTGACGAATGAGATTGTGGCGAGCGAGATTGTGACGAGCGAGATTGTGACGAGCGAGATCGTGACGAGCGAGATCGTGGCGAGCGAGGTCGTGGCGAGCGAGGTCGTGACGAGCGAGGTCGTTGCGAGCGAGGTCGTGGCGAGCGAGGTCGTGGCGAGCGAGGTCGTGGCGAGCGAGGTTGAGATTGTGAGGTTGAGGAGCGACTGGTTGTGCTTGCCATGGCAGGAAGTGATTCCGACGCTGGACATGGCGGCCAACGAGCTGTTTGTGGAGCGCCACGCGGACTCCGTGCTGGAGCACCAGCTGCAGGTGCGGCCCTACAACGCCGTGAAGACGCGCAACATGCGCAACCTCAACCCCGAGGGTACGGCACGCTACATGCCACACATGCTACACACCACACGCATGCTACACGCCACACACGCTACACACTGCACACATGGTACAGGCCACACCCGCTACACACCGCACGCATAGGACAGGCCACACACGCTACACACACCCTACACACTACACACAGTACACGCCACATTCGCTACATGCTCACACACGCACGGTGCACACACACGCTACACACGCTACTCGCCGCACACACGCTGCATGCTACACACGCTATTCGCCGCATACGCTACGTACTGCACACGCGCTACACGCTACAAGTTGCACACACGGGCTACACACCACACGCGCTAACACCCGTGTGCGTGCGTGCCCGTGCGTGCGTAGACATCGACCAGCTGATCACCATCTCGGGGATGGTGATCCGCTCGTCGCAGCTCATCCCCGAGATGCAGGAGGCGGTGTTCCGCTGTCACGTGTGCGGCGCCGGCGCCCGCGTCGAGATCGACCGTGGGCGCATCGCCGAGCCGGCGCTCTGCCGCAACTGCAACACCACGCACAGCATGGCGCTCATACACAACCGCTCGCTCTTCTCCGACAAGCAGATGGTGAGGGCCCGTGCAGTGGGGGGGGGTGAGGGCTCGCGGTGAGCGAGGGTAGAGGTGTGTGTCTACGTGTGTGTGTGTGTGCGGAGGGGAGCGGTAGCGGTCGCGGTTAGCGCGTTGCGCTACGAAGCCGGCGACCCGAGTTCGATTCTCGTTCGCGGCTGACACCAGTGACGATTATCTAAACCGATCATGGATCTCCCCTAGGTTGACTCGGCCTCAAATGAGTACCTGGTGTGGTGTGTAAACGTCACCACTAGAGAGACAAAGGCGGCCGGACGTGGTGTTGATCGTCCACCCCCTCGTGTGCCATGCCGGTGTTCATTGGTGCTACTCGCTAGCAGCACTTGCCCCAACAGTCGCTAAGGCTCCACAGGGATCTTTGTGTGTGTGCTGCCCTCTGGCGGTGAATCGGCACAATCGATTTCCAGTCGGGTCGTTGTCTTTTTAACATAGGCCAAAGGTCACAGGCTATATACATAGGTCAACATCACTAGCATCATCATCACGACCATCATCATCGCTATCATCATCATCGCTACCATCATTATCACTACCATCGTCACTACCATTGCGAACTCTGTTCATTACGTGCACCTCATCCCCGCTGAGCGACTAACGGCGGCGGTGGTGCTGGTGGTGCTGGGCAACTCGCGCTGCTGGACGTGGTGGTGGTGGTGGTGGACGTGGTGGTGGTGGTGAACTTGGTGGTGAACGTGGTGGTGGACGTGGTGGTGGACATGGCGAGTGACAAGTGGTGGCCCTGCGTGTGTGCTCAGATCAAGCTGCAGGAGTCCCCGGACGACATGCCGCCCGGGCAGACGCCGCACACCGTGGTGCTGTATTCACACAACGACCTGGTGGACCGAGTGCAGCCCGGGGACCGCGTCAATGTCACTGGTGAGCACGCGCACACACACGCACGTGCACATGCACACACGCGCACACGCATGGGGGTGGGCGAGCGAGCGGTTGAGTGGGCAGGTAGGTGAACACGCATGGGAGTGGGCCGGTGAGCGGGTTAGCACGCACGGGTGGGTGGGCGGGTGGGTGAGCATTTGGGAAAGCAGTTGGATAAGCAGTCGAGCGGGCGGGAAAGTGGGTGAGCACGGCACGTGGGCGAGCGGTTTCGTGACTGGATGAGAGAGTTGGTTAATGCGTTTGTAGATGGATAGAAGATCGGGTGGGTGGGTGGATGGATTGACGAGCGAGTAGATGAGAGAGTGGGCGAGTTGATAAACGAGTACCCCGGTGCGGCGTGTGAATGTTGGCATTTGGGGATACAAAGGCGGCCGTGTGCGGTTGGTGCCGACGGGCCGCTCATGGCGGCCTAAATGGAGAGGAGCCTGTTAGACGGCGCTCGCCCCGGTGGGCTGCGTGGGCTGCGAGGGCTGTGTGGGTGACGTGGGTGACGTGGGTGACGAGGGCTGCGTGGGCTGCGAGGGCTGCGTGGGTGACGTGGGTGACGTGGGTGACGAGGGCTGCGTGCGTGACGTGCGTGACGTGCGTGACGTGCGTGACGTGGGTGACGTGGGTGACGAGGGCTGCGTGGGTGACGCGGGCTGCGTGGGCTGTGCTGTGCGAGTAACTTGGGGCTGTGTCGCGGTATGCGGGCGAGCAGGCATCTACCGCGCGGTGCCACTGCGTGTTCACCCGCGTGCGGGCAACGTGAAGTCCGTGTACAAGACCCACATCGACGTGGTGAATTTCATCAAGACGGATGCCAAGCGCCTCCGCGGCATCGACGACGAGGAGCAGCACAAGGTGCCGGGCGACCACCCCCCCTCCCCCACCTCGTTTGCTTGGTTACAAATCGATCCACCTTGTCGCGGTTCAGGGAGATCAAGGCAGGAGTTGGGGAACCCCACGATCGCGGAGACCCCTGGGTGAGTTTTGTATGACGCTCATCGCCCCCCCGCCCCCCCCCCCCCCCCCCAGGTGTTCTCTGCGGAGCGCGTGGAGGTCCTGAAGGAGCTGGCCTCCAAGCCGGACATCTACGACCGTCTCTCCTCCGCTCTGGCGCCCAGCATCTACGAGAACGACGACATCAAGAAGGCGAGAGGCTCACGGGGTCACAAGGTCACGGGGTCACAACTAAGTGGGGTTGGAGAGCAAGGGAATTGTGGCTCTTGGGGTCCGATGACAGACGGTTGCGGGTGCACGATCGGACTCCTTTAGTAAAATCGCGTTCATGCGATCTCGGTCGGAGCCATCCATTGTGCCTCCTGATGACAAACTCGCTGAGGCCATCGGCACAGACGCTGCGCCAGCCAAACCGCTGCCCGGGAGCTCAGAACACTCACGGTGACTCGGCTGCTGCTACCAACGATTGCCCAAGCTCTGCGGTCCTCTATGCGTTAAGTTGTTTTCGGCCATCCAATGTTAAATGTTCACACGCGTGGGGGGATACCGGAATGCGCGTGGAAAATACACGCGCTGTGAGGAGGTTTGTTGGGGCGGGCAACACACTTATCTCATGCAGATGGAACAGATGGGGATTAGTCCACACTTTGCTGTACTGCCCACCCACGGGTAGAGTGAGTTCATAATAACGATGCCTTCATCCAATCAGGGAGTGGATTATACGTGAACAGGTCACATGATTGATGACGTCGAAGATGTTGCTGATTACGACATCTATGACATTGATGTCGATGATGACGATGACAATGTTGATGACGCGTGATGTTGACGATGTCGATGATGTCGTTAATGATGATGACGATGTTGATGATGGTGACTTCGATGACGATGTGGATGACGATGTGGATGATGATGTGGGATGGTGACGATGTGGATGGTGATGATGTGGATGGTGACGATGTGGATGGTGACGATGTGGATGGTGATGATGTGGATGGTGATGATGTGGCCGTAGGGGATCCTGCTGCAGCTGTTTGGCGGCACCCGTAAAGACTTCAGTGGAACCGGCCGCGGGAATTTCCGCGCGGAGATCAACATCCTCCTGTGCGGAGACCCGGGTGAGCGGGCGACACGCTTGTACACAACACACAAAGGGCCCCCGTGTAGCCCACGCGGCCCATACAACAACAACAACAGCCGCCGTTCGCCACCAAGTGGCGGTGACGGCGCCTGTGCCAGGCCAGGTGCACTATGAGGCTACGTGAAGTGTCAAAGGCTCCATCGCTGCCATGGGTTGATTGACTGAGTTGACTGGTAGATGCACCACATTTGGCTCCCTGTTGTGCCAACTTGCTGTGTTTTGGTCACCCCACAATGCGCACACACACACACGAGACAAAGATCCACCGTATAGCCTTAGCAGACTGTTTGATGCAAGTGCTGTTAGCGAGTAGTACCTATGAAGGCCGGCACGCCTTTGTCTCACCAGTGGTGATATTTACACATCGCACCAGGTACCCATTTGAGGCTGAGTCAACCTAGGTGAGGCCAATGACTGGTTCACATAATCGTCACTGGTGTTGGTCGTGAGCGGGAATCGACCACGTGTCACCGGGTTCGTAGCGCTGCGTGCTAATCACTACGTTACCAAAGACTTAGATCCCCTCCATATAGAACAGACTGTTGCCTATTGTTGGTTCTTTGGGTTAAGTCACGTAGATAGAAAATAAAAATAATAAAATACAATTTAAAATTTAAGCAAAAAACCCACAACGTTTCGATCGCAACAGAAGCGGTCTTCATCAGGCGAAGAGAAAAGAGGGCAAGCCTCCAAATGCAACTGCTTATATAAGGGGTTCCAAAGTGAGTGGGCGGGTGACGAGAGTTGGGGGGAGGAGAACTTGTGCAGCGTACAGAGCATGGGCGGGGCAGCCAGTCAGACAATGGGGGGGTAGGAAGGGGGTAGAGATAGGGGGGGTAGAGATAGGGGGAGAGAGAGGGGGGGTAGAGATAGACCACTTGTGTTGCGATTGAAACATCGTGGGTTTTTGGTTTTATTTTACTTTAATTGTATTTTATTATTTTATTTTCTATCTACGTGACTTTACCGAAAGAACCAAGAATATGAATTCCTGCAGTCACGAAAGTTTTAAGTCAACACTGTTGCCTGAACAGACTTTTGGGGTTAGGTGCTGTTAACGAGCACACTGACACACACACACGGGTGTGTGTGAGAAATCCTCGTGGCAGCACCATCACGGTGTCTCTCTCTCCCCCCCACCGCCCCCTCTCCACACGCAAGGCACCAGCAAGTCCCAGCTGCTGCAGTACGTGCACGGGCTGGTGCCGCGGGGCCAGTACACGAGCGGCAAGGGCTCGAGCGCCGTGGGCCTCACGGCGTACGTCACGCGCGACCCCGAGACGCGCCAGACGGTGCTCCAGACGGGCGCCCTCGTGCTCAGCGACAACGGCGTCTGCTGCATCGACGAGTTCGACAAGATGAACGACAGCACGCGCTCCGTGCTGCACGAGGTCATGGAGCAGCAGACGCTCTCCATCGCCAAGGTGCGGGGGGGGCTGCAGCACCACCAGACGCTCCTCCGTGTGAACGCGAGCGGTGCGCTGCGCCGCGTCGCCAAGAGACACCGGTTGGATCGTGCGTAGGGCTTGCCACCGTTGTCGAGTTTCCTTTGACAGGAGATGTGGTGGCGTGTCGTAGGAGTTGCGTGCCAGGGGAGCAGCGATTCGCGAGCTGCGCTTCGAACCTGAGGGCCCAGGGGTTGATTCCCGCTCGCGGCCACCAACATCAGTGACGATTATTTGAACCGGTCCTGGGCCTTTCCGAGGCCGACTCAAATGAGTACCCGGCGCGGTGTGTAAACATCGGCACCGGGGAGACGAAGGCTGCCGGGGTGCGGTGCTGGCCCCCACCCCCATTGTGTGCCGTGCCGGCCTTCATCCGGCACTGCTACTCGCTATCACGGCGCTCGCGCCAACTGCCGCGCGGACCGAACGGAGCGGTGAGGGGGGGTTGACCCTTTTACTTTGTGTCCGCGCGCGGCCGCAGGCGGGCATCATCTGCCAGCTGAACGCCCGCACCTCCATCCTGGCGGCCGCCAACCCCGTGGAGTCGCAGTGGAACCACAAGAAGACGACGATCGAGAACATCCAGCTGCCTCACACGCTGCTCTCGCGGTGAGGACCCGAGCGGGGCAGGGGGGGTGGGGGTGGCACGGGTGGTCCTCTCGCCCGGACACCCCCTGACGCACGGAGAGTCGACGTTCCGTCGCACGTCGACATTTGAGCCGATGCGCTCGGTCCTCAGAGCTGTGGAGGGGGTTGCCGGTGTTAAGTCGTGGGGTTCATTCTCCCCGTGGTCGCGTGGATTTTTCTCTGGGTCCCCTCCCGAGTTTTTCCCCTTCACATTTAGAATCAACGCCACGCGTTTATAGTTTTTGGCCGCTGCTATAAATTTCCACGTGATAAGCCACTTTGTTGAACTATCATTTCTCCAGGTCGCGTCTGAAGAGCTATACAGCTCAGTGGGCCGAACTGGATAAAAAATAAAAATTTGTTTAGTGCAAGTGGTGAGGAGGTGGCAGAGCGGTGAGTGCGTGCCACAATGTGAACCCGGCGACCCGAGTTCAATTCCTGATAGCTCTGTGAATCTAGACATTTTAAATTTGACCAGGTAAGGCTCACTGAGCTATACAGTTCTTTTTTTTCAGAAGTGACCTGGCCGCAAATGATAGTTTTATCGAGGTGGCTTACAGTGTGTGAATTTATAGCAGACACAAATACTCTAAACGTGCTTTGAGTCTAAATGTGGAGGGAAAAACTGGAGGACCCGGAGAAAAATCTACGCGACCACGGGGAATAATTTAGAGCAGGCGTCACGGTCGGGATCAAACCACGATCTCCTGCATGTCAGGTGAGGTAGTTAACATCTCTTAGTCACCGCGGCACACAAAACTGTTGGTTTCATGGGGCTGACGAAGAGCAACTTCTGGAGACTCGGTTCTCACTGATTTGGCTGCTCAGTTGCTTTGTCTGAGAGTTGGTGGATTGCAGATACTCGCTCACTCACTCAGCCACCTACCCACTCACCTACCAACCCCCATGCTCATCTACTCACCCACAATTGTAAATGTGTAGAAAGAGTTGAGTAACCTTTTTCTCCCTCCCTCACTCCCTGTTGGCCTCCGTCCCCCTTCCGGTCTCCGTCTCTCCCTCTCTCTCCCCTGTGTGTCTCTCCCCCCCCCCCTCCCCGTGTGCATGCTGCAGGTTCGACCTCATCTTCCTCATCCTGGACCCGCAGGACGAGGCGTTTGACCGCCGCCTGGCACACCACCTCGTCTCGCTCTACTTCCAGTCGCAGGAGGAGGTGGACGAGGAGTTCCTGGACATGGCGGTGCTGCGTGACTACATCGCCTACTCGCGCCTCTACGTGCACCCCACACTCAGCGAGGAGGCCGGCCAGACGCTCATCCAGGTGAGGCACAGACCCCCCCCCCCTCCGACCCCCTCCCCCCGCTGGACAAAAGACGGTCGCCATATCATGCGGCGCTTTTGGACGCACTTGTGCGGCCGTCTGGAACGCTCTTTCCTTCCGAGATTAGGAAGCTACTGGGAGCTATGCACTTTTAAATCATCGTCACTCTAGATTGACAAACTCGTTTAATTAGAACTGCTTTTTGTGTTTAGTTTGTTTTCCTTCCCCTAGGGGGCGCCTCCGATTAGCGCAGTTGGCTACGTACGGTGCGAAAGATGATGCCGACTACGATGATGATGACGATAGCGACGATGATAACGATGACGACGATAACGGCACTGACGGTGACGACAGTGACAACGAAGATGGACGTGTTCCAGACGGACGGGGGCTGCCACGGAGAAACGACGCTCGGCAGTGGCCTTGGTCATGGTCCAGGGTCTAGAGAGGAGAAGGGGGAAGTCGTCACTGCCGGTACTGCCACTGCAGAGAGATCCACTACGAGCCACAGTGCAGGGTGACAGCAGCGAGAAGAGAGATGTGCGTACGCGCGTTTTAACTTCTTTCGCACCGTATGTAGCCAACCGCGCTAATCGGAGGTGCGGGACGGGGTATACAGGGGGGGTGGCTGAGAGTCCGAGGTGCGGCGGCGGTGGTTCGTGGTGGTGGTTGGGGGTGATGCTGGGGGTGATGCTGGTGGTGGTGGTTGGTCGTTGGTGGTCGTTGGTGGTGGTGATGGTGGTGCAGGCTGCAGCAGGCGACCTTGTAGCTGAACCTGCTGCCCAAAGGAATTACGGTGGAGGGAGAGAGACGGGGAGAGCGCGCCGGCACGGCTCGCATGTGCCAGTGAAAGCAAGGCGTTGATGACCATGTCCCTCCCCTCTTGTCTCAACCCCCCTCCCCCACCCCCCGTAGGCCTACGTGGACATGCGCAAGGTGGGCAGCGGCCACGGCTCCGTGTCGGCCTACCCACGTCAGCTGGAGAGCCTGATTCGCCTGGCCGAGGCCCACGCCAAGGTGCGGTTGTCCCCGCGCGTCGAGATGATCGACGTGGAGGAGGCCAAGAGGCTGCACCGGGAGGCCCTGAAGCAGGCCGCGACGGACCCACGAACCGGCATCGTGGACATCTCCATCTTCACCACGGGTACGGGGGGACGGCGATGCCATCGTCATCATCGCCACCGTCATCTTCCATCCTTGCCACGGTTACGGAGACTTCTCCAACATCATCATCACCGCCACCATCATCACCACAATCTCCATCTTAGCCACGGAGGACGTCGCCGCCATCGTCAACATCATCATCACCATCATTACCATCATCACCACCAACATCACCACAATCACCATCCTCACCATGGGTACGGAGACATCGCCATCACCACCATGACTACCATCACCACAATCACCTATCATCCCTATGGGTATGTGAACATCATCACCATCACCACCTCCATCATCACAATCGCAACCATCCTCGCTACCATCACCACGGGTATGTGGACATCGGCATTATCACAATCGCCGTGTGTGTGTGGTTTTTGCTGCGCTTGTGTGTTTATTATGTGTGTGTGTGTTTGTGCGGTGCTGTGTTGGTGCAGGGATGAGCGCCACTGCCCGCAAGCGCCGCGAGGAGCTGGTCCAGGCCCTCAAGAAGCTGATCCAGGCCAAGGGCCGGGGCCCGGCTCTCAAGTACCAAGGCCTACTCGACGAACTCCGCACGCAGTCCGACATGGTGCGGGCAGCTCGCTCTATTACACAAACACTCGCTCTGCTACTCAAACACTCGCTCACTCTGCTACTCAAACACTCACTCACTCTGCTACTCAAACACTCGCTTACTCTGCTACTCAAACACTCGCTCACTCTGCTGCTCAAACACTCACTCACTCTGCTACTCAAACACTCGCTCACTCTGCTTCTCAAACACTCGCTCACTCTGCTACACAAACACTCGCTCACTCTGCTACTCAAACACTCGCTCACTCTGCTACTCAAACACTCGCTCACTCTGCTACTCAAACACTCGCTCACTCTGATACTCAAACACTCGCTCACTCTGCTTCTCAAACACTCGCTCACTCTGCTACTCAAACACTCGCTCACTCTGCTGCTCAAACACTCGCTCACTCTGCTGCTCAAACACTCGCTCACTCTGCTACTCAAACACTCGCTCACTCTGCTACTCAAACACTCGCTCACTCTACTACTCAAACACTCGCTCACTCTGCTACTCAAACACTCGCTCACTCTGCTACTCAAACACTCGCTCACTCTGCTACTCAAACACTCGCTCACTCTGCTACTCAAACACTCGCTCACTCTGATACTCAAACACTCGCTCACTCCGCTACTCACACACTCGCTCACTCTGCTACTCAAACACTCGCTCACTCTGCTACTCAAACACTCGCTCACTCTGCTACTCAAACACTCGCTCACTCTGCTACTCAAACACTCGCTCACTGCTACTCAAACACTCGCTCACTCTGTTAATCAAACACTCGCTCACTCTGCTTCTCAAACACTCGCTCACTCTGCTACTCAAACACTCGCTCACTCTGCTACTCAAACACTCGCTCACTCTGCTACTCAAACACTCGCTCACTCCGCTACTCAAACACTCGCTCACTCTGCTACTCAAACACTCGCTCACTCTGCTACTAAAACACTCGCTCATTCCGCTACTCAAACACTCGCTCACTCTGCTACTCAAACACTCGCTCACTCTGCTACTCAAACACTCGCTCACTCTGCTTCTCAAACACTCGCTCACTCTGCTACTCAAACACTCGCTCACTCCGCTACTCAAACACTCGCTCACTCTGCTACTCAAACACTCGCTCACTCTGCTTCTCAAACACTCGCTCACTCTGCTTCTCAAACACTCGCTCACACTGCTTCTCAAATACTCGCTCACTCTGCTTCTCAAACACTCGCTCACTCTGCTTCTCAAACATTCGCTCACTCTGCTACTCAAACACTCGCTCACTCCGCTACTCAAACACTCGCTCACTCTGCTACTCAAACACTCGCTCACTCCGCTACTCAAACACTCGCTCACTCCGCTACACAAACACTCGCTCATTCCGCTACTCACACACTCGCTCACTCTGCTGCTCAAACACTCTTTCACTCTGCTTCTCAAACACTCGCTCACTCTGCTTTTCAAACACTCGCTCACTCTGCTACTCAAACACTCGCTCACTGCTACTCAAACACTCTCACTCTGATACTCAAACACTCGCTCACTCTGCTTCTCAAACACTCGCTCACTCTGCTGCTCAAACACTCTCTCACTTTGCTGCTCAAACACTCGCTCACTCTGCTTCTCAAACATTCGCTCACTCTGCTTCTCAAACACTCGCTCACTCTGCTTCTCAAACACTCGCTTACTCTGCTACTCAAACACTCGCTCACTCCGCTACTCAAACACTCACTCACTCTGCTACTCAAACACTCGCTCACTCCGCTACTCAAACACTCGCTCACTCCGCTACACAAACACTCGCTCACTCTGCTGCTCAAACACTCGCTCACTCTGCTTCTCAAACACTCGCTCACTCTGCTTCTCAAACACTCGCTCACTCTGCTTCTCAAACACTCGCTCACTCTGCTTCTCAAACACTCGCTCACTCTGCTACTCAAACACTCGCTCACTCTGCTTCTCAAACACTCGCTCACTCTGCTTCTCAAACACTCGCTCACTCTGCTACTCAAACACTCGCTCACTCTGCTACTCAAACACTCGCTCACTCTGCTTCTCAAACACTCGCTCACTCTGCTTCTCAAACACTCGCTCACTTCGCTACTCAAACACTCGCTCACTCTGCTACTCAAACACTCGCTCACTCCGCTACTCAAACACTCGCTCACTCTGCTTCTCAAACACTCGCTCACTCTGCTACTCAAACACTCACTCACTCTGCTACTCAAACACTCGCTCACTCTGCTACTCAAACACTTGCTCACTCTGCTACTCAAACACTCGCTCACTCCGCTACTAAAACACTCGCTCACTCTGCTACTCAAACACTCGTTCACTCTGCTACTCAAACACTCGCTCACTCCGCTACTCAAACACTCGCTCACTCTGCTACTCAAACACTCGTTCACTCCGCTGCTCAAACACTCGCTCACTCTACTCCTCAAACACTCGCTTGCTCTGCTTCTCAAACACTCGTTCACTCTGCTACTCAAACACTCGCTCACTCTGCTACTCAACACTCGCTCACTCTACTCCTCAAACACTCGCTCACTCTGCTACTCAACACTCGCTCAGTCTACTCCTCAAACACTCGCTTGCTCTGCTACTCAAGCACTCATTCCGCCAGTTGACCATTCAAATACTTGCTTGCTCAACCACTCGTGCACTCACCAGACCAATATGACACTCGCTCGCTCTAAAATACGTGCGTGTGTTTATGTATGGGGAGCGGTAGTACAACGGTTAGCATGCTGTGCTACCAACCTGGCGACCCGAGTTCGATTTCCACTCACGACCAAAATCCGGTTCAGGGCCTCCCCTAGGTCGACTCAGCCTCAAATGAGTACCTGGTGCGGTGTGTAATGATCGCTGCCATGGAGACAAAGGCGGCAGGGCGTGGTGCTGGCCACCCACCCCCTCGTGTGCCGTGGCAGCCTTTACAGGTGCTCGCTAACAGCACTTGCCCCAACAGTCTGTCAAGGCTAGATGGGGGATCTTTATCTGTGCGTGTTTACGTGTGCGTGTGCTTGTGCAGGCCGTGACGAAGGAGCTGTTTGATGAGACGCTTCGGGCTCTGGCTGACGAGGACTTCCTCACCGTCACCGGCAAGACCGTCCGTCTGCTCTAATTGCCTCCCTCCCTCTCTCCATCCATGCCTCTATCCCTCCCTCCCTGCCTCCCTCCCTCCCTCCCACCAACCCTCCTTCCATTGCTCTATCCATTCCTCCCTCTCTGCCTCCATCCATCCCTCCCTCTCTGCCTCCATACATCCCTCTCTCCCACCATGACTCTCTCACTCTCCACATCCCTCTATCTCTCCCTCCATCTCTCACTCTCCACATCCCTGCATCTCTCCCTCCATCTCTCCTCCATCTCTCCTTCATCCCTCCCTCATGCAACGCCTCCGCCACTGTCTGGTAGGCAGTGTCCAGTTGCCAGGGAACCAGCCCAGTTCCGTTCCAAGGTCACCAGCACCGGGACCCAGTCCTCCCGCACGCTGTGAGACACGAGGCTCCATCACCTTTCACTTCCCTCCCTTGCCCCCTCAGGGCAGCAGCGGAGCGGCCGTGAATACAATCAATAGAAGCGTCTAACGCTGGCGTCCCTTGGCTTCCGCTGTCCCGAGGCGAACTCGGATTTTGTCATTTTCCACCCTCTGTGTTTTTCCGGTGAAAATGCGTTTCCCACAAGTTTGTACCGTGTGCGAGCGGAGCTGCTGAGCCCGCAACCCCCCTCTCATTTATGTTTCCGCGTTGACCACCCCCCCCCCCCCGTTGTTAAAGTCAACAGCTTGTGGCGGTTCATACCTGGTTTGTCAGATGGGATCGTGTGGGCATGATGTCTAGTGTTTGACTCGAACCCTCCACCACCCGACATCGCCAATCCAGTCAAGCAATAGTGGCGAGATGTTATCTCCCTCGCCTGTTGTGCAGGAGGTCGTGGGTTCGACCCTGACACCTGTATATTTGGAGTTTGCGTGTCTCTCCCCGTGGTCGCGTGAATTTTCCTCCGGGTCCTCCGGTTTTACATTCCACGTTTAGAATCAACATCACACGTTTAGAGTATTTGGCTGCTATAAATTTCCACGCGACAAGCCACTTGGTTGAGCCGTCATTTGTGATCGCCAGGTCGCTTCTAAAAAAGAGCCACGTAGCTCAGTGGGCCTTACCTGGTCAAATAAAATGTTTAGTTGAGTAAGTTGTGGTTGTCGTTAAACATTGACATTAAACCTACACAATCTAATCCAAAAGACATTGATTATGAATCGTGATGTTGGTAGACTGTTTTAAGACAAAGTGTGAGTTCGTGGTAAATGGTGAGGTGTTATTCGTGAGGTAAATAATGAGGCGTTATTGGTAAACAATGAGGCAAGAGGTAAGAAGTGAGGTGTTAGTTGTCGTGAGGTGTGTTAGTGGTAAATGATGCAGTGTGAGGTACATTTTCACGAGTTAGTAATTTTTGTAGTAAATGATGAGGCGTGTGAGGTAAATGTTGATGCGTTAGTATTTTTCGTGCTAAATAATGAGGGGCGTGAGGTAAATGGTGGTGTGTGTGAGGTAAAAGTTGATGCGTTTAGTACAGAATAGTGGCGTTAGGTGATCGTTGTGACGTCGTGTGTCGTTACTCTGAGCCCTGCCTCGGTGTGGCCGACAGCCAGCAGCAGCAGCACTGCCAGTGTGTAACGCGCGCTCCACCAAGCCTCGAGTTTCCCTTCTTCATGGCTGTGGTTTATCGCACGCGTGTGTAAACGTAATAAAGATAACAAAGTTTGTCGCAGTGTTTGTTCGTGACAAGTTTGTTTTTGTTTGTGCTACAGTCTTGACAATTCGGCTCCCACACTCTCCCCCACCCCACGCACGAGAGATGCCCGATAGCTGTGGGGGGGGGGGGGGGTATTTGACCATACTTCACCACGCCGGTCATTGCGTGGCGAACGCGTATACTGCAGCACATGCAGACAATTTTGTAAATCCACTGCTGGATGTATGAGGGCCTCGTGCATAGGAAGATGGTCATCTATATATAGGTGATATTTGACCATACTTCACCACCCTGGAGGAATGCAGGGCGATCTGTTCCTGTGCTTGACCACGGCGTGGCCTATAGCACCTGTTATGCGTGGTGGTGGTCGTCCTTCCAAGCACTATCCAGGCTCAAACCTCTGCTGAGCTGAGATCTGACGAGACTGAGGCACAGTATTATAAAAATGCTTATTGTACAAAATATTAATCAAATAGTTGACTCGAATGGTGAAATTAATGGATTTATAAGGGAGATATGGTGATTGTATCTACGCTACAAGTGATCAATTACTGTAATATTAAATCAAGCACGCAATCGTGAAAAACGTCTTTAGTTTGTGTAAATTGGAGCAAAATCGACTGGCTCCATCTCACACAAGGACTCCTAAAGAGAACGTTGCACAGACACGAATGTTAATCACTAAACATTACAACGAATCATTAAAAGTGGGCCCGGGCACATTCCATTGTGATGACTCGGAGCACAATTAGAAAAAAAGCGAGTTACAGGAATATTAATTAGAGATATTGAGGTGACTATTCTCTGTAAAACGGACTCGAGTCCACTGCTCTGCGTTGTCTGTGTGCGTGTTCAACTTCTTTCGCACCGTACGCAGCCAACCGTGCTAGTCGGAGGTGCGGGGGAAGCACAACAAACTCGAGACAAGCCCTTTTAAAGAAATCACTTTTCAATTGGTTTGCTCTCGTCACCCACTTCCCACTTTTACACAACGGCCTCGACACACCCAGAATCAAAATATTGAAACTGGAGGAATCCGATGAGCTTTGAAGGTCTGTTTCACAGCTCTCCAGCAGCTATTGAGCTCTTTTTCAGAAGCGACATGGCTGCAAATGATAGCGAAGTGGCTTGTGTGGAAATGTTTAGCAGTCGCCAAATACTCTTAAGTGCGTGATATTGATTCTAAATGTGGAACGAAAAACCAAAGGACCCAGAGAAAAAATCCACGGGACCACGTGCAAACTCCCTATGGTGTAGTGTGGGTGGCTTTCTTGGAGATCGACATTCGGTCTACAGGAAAGCCACCCACATGGATGCCGATCTAAAGCCTGACTCCCACCACCATCCAGCCCAGAAGAATTCCCTAATCAAAACACTACACCATCGGGCACGTTGCATCTCCGACCAGCACTACCTAGTCAGTGAGTTTGAGCACGTACACTAAGCCCTCAGGATGAAGGGATACTCGGACCGTACAATCCGCAAAGCTGTTTCCCCAGCAATGGGGAGACAACCTTCTGAGGATCCAACCATAACCATCACTTTGCCATACATAGCAGGGGTTACGAAAAATATTTCCAAAATTTTAAACAATATCCAGGTTCGTTTCAACACAGTACACAAAATCCGTGATTTAATCCCATCTGTAAAGGATGTGATTCCTGACATGCAATACCCTCGTGTCTACAAACTGAGTTGTGGTTGCGACAGCAGTTACATTGGGGAAACGAAAGTATGAAACGACATGTCTCGGACCACGTTTGTGAACACAAGGCAGATCCGAAACACGGTAGGACCAATACCTCAGCCGTGGCTGATGATTGTTTTAATGCTGTGGGCTCACATGAAATAGATTTTTCCAAGACGGAGGTACTCTGCAAACCTACCGGCTACCTTCAGAGATTTGTTCATGGACCCATCCAAATATATAAACACAGACACAACTTCAACCGAGAGGATGGGTACAAACTGAGCAAGCATTGGGAGGACGTTATTAACCAGGTAAAGTCTTAACTGACTGATGTTTCCATCCTACCTGCCTCCGTCAGCTGTTATTTCGACTCTCTGCGTCTCTCTCTATGCCTCTCTCTTCGATCTCTCATGCTCACATGTCCGTTGCATTGCACTCTCATGCCTTTGGATTGCACTCTCATGCTCACATGCCCTTTGGATTGCATCCTTTGGATTGCACCACTCTTCGATTTCACATTAACATGCTAATCTCTCACATTAACATAGCCACTTCCGTGCCCTCGTCGAGGAGGCCGCTCTCCACTCTTACATTTACATGCTAATTTCTCACATTAACATCACTAGCCCCACCCACTTCTTTATGACCCTTGGGCTACACCCATTGCAAACCTTTTAAAACAGTCTGAATCAGCAGCAGATCAAGCTTTCCCACCTGATGACGGGCACTTGTGTTGCGCCCGAAACGTCGTGATCTATTTTATTTTCTACCTACGTGACTTTACTGAAAGAACTAAAGAGTCTGGATTCCTGCAGTCGCGAAAGCTTCACATCAAGATGATCCAGGCAATCGTTCTGGACACGCGCCTCTGCTCTCGCAGCCGAACATAGAAGACACCGCCACTCGGTGCTCTGAATCGTGGGCGGCTGTGGACGTGGCAAACAAAAACATCGTCACGACCCGTGGGTGGAAGTACCTACTAAGATGGAAAATTGTATTTGTATACGAGCCTTTTGCCCGTCAAAGAGACGGGTGTAGTTTAGTAATTCTGAAACCTACAAGCAAAGAGCAGACCGCGGACGTGATATATTAATTGCATCAATTCGTGTGCAATTTGTAAGGGTGCGGTGACACGGACTTATTTCATGTAAAGGTTATAACCCCTTGTTCATCAAGACGTCCTTTTTACTTTGATGTCTCAACAGCGTGACGGAGATCGCGTGACGTGAGGGTTCTGCCTTTGTAGTGAGGGTTGTGAGTTGACGCCGAGGAGGGGGGAGGAGGCGCCTCGCCCCCCCATGTGGAGTGACGTCACCAGCTAATTAATATTAGGGGCCGTCCAAAAATGACGTCAGACATTTGTGAGGGGGGGGGGGGGTGAGAAATGGGACGTTGACACCAAAATGCGCAACTTTAAATAAATATAGACAACACGTTCTACTTAATTGAATAAACGTTTTAATAAATGTTTTCTCCGACAACATCAGAGTGCAGCGCCACATTAAATACGCACTACAATGACAATAGTTTAAAGCGATTTGAAGCATGTTTTATTTTTAAAATGGAAATATGGTTTTGAGCTTTGTGACGTCATATTTCAGGGGGGGACTTTTTGTGACGCCGTGTGACGAGGGGAGAGGTCAAAACTCGTCCAAAATCGCGTGACGTCATTTATGGACGGCCCCTTGATGGTGGGGGGTGTCCATTTGGAAGCTGTCACCTCTTCATGATTATTAATGTTGGGGGCTGTTCGATGTGTAGTGACGTCACCTGCTCATGATTATTAATGAGGGGGGGGTGCTACATGTGGAGTGACGTCACCCGCTCATGATTATTAATGAGGGGGGGTGCTACATGTGGAGTAACGTCACCCGCTCGTGATTATTAATGAGGGGGGGGGGGGGTGCTACATGTGGAGTGACGTCACCCGCTCGTGATTATTAATGAGGGGCGGTCCATGTGGTGGACGTCACCTGTTCATGATGATTATTAATGAGGGGGGCTGGCCGACGTGGAGTGACGTCACGCGCGGGACACACAGACATTTTTGGCTCATTGTATTTTTTTTCGGTAAAGTCACCGTAGGTTAAAAATAAAATAAATGGAAACAATTAAATTAACTAACGACCTTTTGGGCGCAACACAAGCGTCCTTCAGGTGAGGACAACGTAGCGAAAGCACCACAACCGCTTAAGTGTGTCTAAGAGCTGGCTGTGACGAGGAGTTATTATATAGTAGCGGGGGGTGGAGGAGGGGAGGGGGGGCATGGTGAGTGTGAGGGTGGGCTGTGGACTGGGAGGCAACGCTGTGAGGAACGGGGAGGGCGCTGGGAGGCAACGCGTGGAGCTCAAACTGAAGCCTGAAGCAATAGCAAAGGCTGCTTAATCTGAGCTTTCTTATCTACTTCCGCCCCCTGCATCACAAAGCTTCAGTTTGAGCTCCACGCGTTGCCTCCCAGCGCCCTCCCCGTTCCTCACAGCGTTGACTCCCAGTGCACAGCCCGCCCACACACTCACCATGGCCCCTCCCCTCCTCCATCCCCCGCCACTATATAATAACTCCTCGTCACAGCCAGCTCTTAGACACACTTCAGCGGTTGTGGTGCTTTCGCTACGTTGTCCCCACTTGGAGAAGGACGCTTGTGTTGTGCCCGAAACGTCGTTAGTTAATTTAGTTGTTGTCATTTAATTTATTTTTTTACCTACGTGACTTTACCGAAAAAACCAAAGAGTATGAATCCCTGCAGTCACGAAAGATTCAAATCTAGAATTCATAGTACATTTGTAAGTGAGTTGCTGACCCATTCCTATACTTTGCACTCGTATCGTTTTTTTAATCGTTTGTTGTCGTTGTAACGTTCTGACTCCCCCTCCCCCACCAAAAGAAAATCTATTCTTAAATCTAAATCCTAATTCTAATTTTGAGGGCAGTGGAATGGAATGGTTGGTGATGTCAAAGGCGTCAATCATCGCGGTTGTTTTAGGGTGGGGGCTAAGTGGGGGGGGGGGGGGGTTAGGGGGCCCTGTGACGTCACCGGCGTCGTGATTGGTCCGCGTGGAGTGGCGCGATGCCGCCCGCCCCCGTCGCGGCCGCGGCGGCGGCGGTGTCATCGGGCGGGACGCAGCGATGGCGGCGGCTGCGTGTGAGGCACCTCGGGCGCGGGGCTCCATGGCCGAGGAGGACCCCAACCAGAACCAGCCCGAGGAGGAGGCCCGCGAGGAGCGCGCCCCGCGCTGGGGGCCTCAGCACGCGGGGGCGCGCGAGTTGGCGGACCTCTACTCGCCCGGTGAGGCCGCGGCGGGGGCCGCGTTCACGGCGGCTGCGGCCTACCAGAGCCCACCTCCCCGGTCTCGCCTAGGCGCCTGCCCGGGATTGGTGGTTGCCCCGGGCGGCGGGTAGCTGCTGGTGTTGGGGGGGGGTCGGGGTGTTGCGGTCTCGGTGTTCGCGCTACGAGCCCGCGGCTCGGGCTCGATCCCCGCTCACGGCCAACAACACCCAGTGACGATTATCTGAACCGGTCCTGGACCTCCCCTAGGTCGACTCGGCCTCGAGTAGCTGGTGAGACAGGCGTGGTGCTGGCCGTGCCGGCCTTCATAGGCGCTACTCGCTAACAGCACTTGCCCCTTCAGTCTGTTCAGGCTACACGGGGGATCTTTGCCTTGTCTGAGTGTTGATGGCTGTCAAATAGATGGAGTTGGCTCGCTGATGAGCTCCAAACTTGTCGATATCCAGTGTTCATGGTGCCCAGCAGAAGAGGGTCGTGCATCAGAGTTGTTGTATTGTGCTTCTATGCTTCTGGTTGGGTGCTCTCCGGTTTATAAACACTCAGCATTGGCCAAACATGCCCATTGTAGCAGGAGATAAGTGGAAAGGGATCCTGAGACTCTGTGAGGCTCTCCTTGGTAACTCGTTTAAATATCAATCTGCTCCCTCGCCCGTTCCCCCCGCCGTCACCAACCCGCGCTGACCGGCGTGGTGAAGTATGGCCACAATCCCCGCGCTCGCTGCCGCCAGCCTGTAGCCGGGGGGGGGGGTGTGTGGTTGGCCGATGCCCGGTTAGAGCGAAACGTAGCCTTGCATATCTCTGAAGTGTTTATGGCTTTCAGAGAGCCAGTGCTTATCGGCAAATAGTGGCGATAAGGATGTCTACTTGTGATTGCTCACACACACGCGGAGCGGAAGGGAAGCGCTACTGTGTTGTGAGCCACAGGCGGGCAATCGAATGTGATCTCGGTGGTAGTTCTGCGACGTCCACTTCTCTGGGCCGTTCTCTCAATGGCACGGGGTGACGCTGCACTCACCGCTCTGCGAGGTTTCTGACTTGGGTTCGTCTCATGACATCACAGCCGGGATATTGTTTGGTGGGGAGAAGGACACAACGTGTACTACGGTCGCGTTATGTGTCGGTCAGAGCAAGATTTTGTGTTGCATAAACGGTGGCGACGTCACGCCCTTCTGTGTCACGCGTATGCAGCCGAGGTGGCTATGGGATGTTAACTCCCTCGCCTGGTATACAGGAGGTCGTGTGTTCAATCCCGAGCCTGACGCCTGATGTATGTTTGGAGCTTGAATGTTTTCCCCGTGGTCGCGTGAATGTTTACGGTTTTTCCCTCCATGTTTAGAAACATGCTCTTGGACTATTTGGCTGCTGCTATACATTTCCACATGAGCCACTAAGTTGATCGATAATTTGTGATAGCCAGGTCGGTTCTGAAAAGCATCTACATAGCTCAGTGGGCCTCACCCGGTAAAATAAAAAAATTGTTTAAAACTAGTTCATGGTGTGTAATGGTGAGTTGATGTTGAGATATTTTATCTTTTTACACGGTCCCAAACACCATGCAGCCAGCAACAAACAGTACATGAAGGTGTCATAGGTTACGGTTAATACGCCCCGTCAATTGAGCTCGGCAATTCTAAGAGCTTGGGAAAAGAGACGGTGGGAGGCGCATTGTAAGTTGAGCAGCGCGAGCGACGGAGCGCAGTGAGAAGTGTAAGTGACCCCCCCCCCCCGTGTGGCGAGTGAGAGAGTGGGAGAGTTTGTGGTGAGTGAGTTGTTGTTGCGACCTCCAGTGTGGCGAGGGAATGGGTGGGTGAGTGTGGGGTGACTTCCCGTGTGGTGAGTGAGAGAGTTTGTGCGTGAGTGTTGTTGTGACGTCCAGTGTGGTGAGTAAGTGGGTGAGTGTGTTGTTGTTGTGACCTCCAGTGTGGTGAGTAAGTGGGTGAGTGTGTTGTTGTTGTGACCTCCAGTGTGGTGAGTAAGTGGGTGAGTGTGTTGTTGTTGTGACCTCCAGTGTGGTGAGTAAGTGGGTGAGTGTGTTGTTGTTGTGACCTCCAGTGTGGTGAGTAAGTGGGTGAGTGTGTTGTTGTTGTGACCTCTAGTGTGGTGAGTAAGTGGGTGAGTGTGTTGTTGTTGTGACCTCCAGTGTGGTGAGTAAGTGGATGAGTGTGTTGTTGTTGTGACCTCCAGTGTGGTGAGTAAGTGGGTGAGTGTGTTGTTGTTGTGACCTCCAGTGTGGTGAGTAAGTGGGTGAGTGTGTTGTTGTTGTGACCTCTAGTGTGGTGAGTAAGTGGGTGAGTGTGTTGTTGTTGTGACCTCTAGTGTGGTGAGTAAGTGGGTGAGTGTGTTGTTGTTGTGACCTCCAGTGTGGTGAGTAAGTGGGTGAGTGTGTTGTTGTTGTGACCTCCAGTGTGGTGAGTAAGTGGGTGAGTGTGTTGTTGTTGTGACCTCCAGTGTGGTGAGTAAGTGGGTGAGTGTGTTGTTGTTGTGACCTCCAGTGTGGTGAGTAAGTGGGTGAGTGTGTTGTTGTTGTGACCTCTAGTGTGGTGAGTAAGTGGGTGAGTGTGTTGTTGTTGTGACCTCTAGTGTGGTGAGTAAGTGGGTGAGTGTGTTGTTGTTGTGACCTCCAGTGTGGTGAGTAAGTGGGTGAGTGTGTTGTTGTTGTGACCTCCAGTGTGGTGAGTAAGTGGGTGAGTGTGTTGTTGTTGTGACCTCCAGTGTGGTGAGTAAGTGGGTGAGTGTGTTGTTGTTGTGACCTCCAGTGTGGTGAGTAAGTGGGTGAGTGTGTTGTTGTTGTGACCTCCAGTGTGGTGAGTAAGTGGGTGAGTGTGTTGTTGTTGTGACCTCTAGTGTGGTGAGTAAGTGGGTGAGTGTGTTGTTGTTGTGACCTCCAGTTTGGTGAGTAAGTGGGTGAGTGTGTTGTTGTTGTGACCTCCAGTGTGGTGAGTAAGTGGGTGGATGGATGGGAGAGTTTGAGGTGAGTGAGTTGTTGTGACCTGCAGTGTGGTGGTTGAACACTGTGGATGAGACGACACGGTCAGTCTGGTAGACTCACTATAGCTGGAGGAATCGGTGAGTGAACCTCATGAGAACAGGAACTATGGTAGTAGCGTCAGAAGAGTGATACAGAGGTGGCTGACAGCTGGCGATCAAGTGACAGGTGCATTTCGGAGTATCTGGATGATCAATAAATTTTACTTATTAACTGTGACTAATCCGACCGGTAATATGTACTGCATAATCTCAGATGAACATAATCCATTGTATGTTGATTAACTGTGACTAATCCAACCGTTAATATGTACTGCACACTCTCAGATTAACAATCAATTGTTATTTATATGATTACATTCACACCCTGCAGATCTTCGCACCTGATAGGCTCACAGTGATGACGTAACTTTACTCTATTTAAGACCGGAAACAGGAAGACTTGTTCACAATTCTAGCAAATCGCCTGATGAAGCTGGTTCTTGTAATCGCCAGCGAAACGTCGTACTCAAATTGTAAATGTCGTGGGTTTACCCTCCAACACACAAGCGGTGTGCTGAAGGAGTTAGTAACTGATTGGCTGTGTCGGGTGGTGGTGGATTAACGACACGTAGTTCCGCGCTCTAACACAAAACTATTTCTTTATGAGTAATATCGGTCGTGAAAGCCTACTACATGTTATTCCTATAAACATGACTGCTGTATGTTGATTTCTGTCCAATACAATTATGTAAGGGAACTGCTGGCTCCACCCATAGGCGTGTTACGTATTCGCACAAAATGATGGGTATTGATTGACGTGTTGACGTGAGAGCTGGAGATGAAAAGTGGCTGCCGCGGAGTGTTGCTGATTAGGAAATTAAAGCATTTCACCAACTGTCTGCGTGGCAGGTGGTGCTTACTGCGTGCAACTTTCAAAATGCAATCTTTGCTCTAAAAGTCTGACGTGTAAGAGAGCCGTTAGCATGGATTGTAATTACCCTGCAAGTCAAGCTTACAACGTCACCTGGAATGTGCTCGATCTCACACTGAGGCACGGCTGAACCTGGCACTAGAGCAGTGCATTGTGGTATCAGTCCGTGAAGAGGTGTGCATGTTACCCTGTGTCCTCCGGAAGTGGGGTGAATTATAATTGTGATTACAGTGGTATCGTTATGTCACATTGCAATTACATTGTGATTGCAATTCATGACTAATTATACATTTATAATTTACACCAATTCTGGTTTCCCCATGAATAAGAGGTTTGAGACTTAATGAAGCTTTCTTGGGTAAAGGACGTTATATTGGTTCCAAGTGCCCTACTGGTAACGCTCATAAACTGGCATTCTCTCTTTTACAAGCAGATGACCGCAATCATCTCCATCACCACGACCGTTACCATCATAACCATCATCGCTACCAATCTCGCCGTCATAATGACCACAATCGTCACAACCAGCATCATCTCCATCACCCCATCAGTAACTTTCGTTATCATCAAAATCACCATCGCAACTGCACAATAACCACAATGTCCACCACTGTAACTCATCATCACCAAAGACAAAGATCCCCCGTATAGCCTGAACGGACTTTTAGGGCAAGTGCTGTTAGCGAGCACCTATGAAGGCCGGCGCGGCACACAAGGGGGTGGGGGGCCAGCACCACGCCCAGCCGCCTTTGTCTCCCCAGTGGCCATGTTTACACACCGCACCAGATACTCGTTTGAGGCGTTGTCGACCTGGGGAGGCCCAGGACCGGTGCAGATAATCGTCACCGGTGTTGGCCGCGAGCGGGAATCGAACTCGGGCCGCCGGGTTTGTAGCGCAGTGACCGCGACCACTACCGCTCCCCACCACCACCACCACCACCACCGCCGCCGTCGTCACCGCCGCTGCTGCTCAACTTCCCTCCTTGTGGGCAGCTGAAGCGGTCGTCACGTAGGCACCGGCTGGCGGGATCGCCGGGTGTGGCGCAGGGCAGGGTGCGGTCCATCGTGACTCCGGTGTCAAGAATTCTGCCGAACTTTTTTATTTTTCACAAGCTGGGGGGGTAACCGGAGTTGCCGCTTCATCTATGAGACTCCCACCGCCACCCCCGCCACACCGCCTCATTCCCCACCCCAAAGCCCTGACCGCCACCACTCCCTTCGTAAATATTATAAATATTGAAGAGTGCAGCCATCAGCAGCCATCAGCAGCCTCAACTGCCAGCATGATCGCCGTCACCACAACTAATGATAATCACCACAATCACCATCATCACCACAATCACCGTCATCACCACACCTGTCGTCACCACGATAACTATTGCCATGACAAAAAATAATTACCACGGTAATGATCACCATCATCATCACATTTATCACCATCACCACAACCATCACAATTAACTGACGAAAGTAATTGGCTCAACCACATGTCAATGTGAACTTACTCTACGTCAACATCGGCCATATGAGGAAGAAGGTGACAGCCAAGTGTCTTGTAATCTCCTGCATGTTACACATCTGCAGGAGCTTGCAAAATACATAGTGGCGTTGCATTGTAATACATTGTGTTTGTTCATGATAAGCATTGCAGGACATGTAAAGGGTACGCCTTTTGGCGTCATCTGGTCCAACACCAATGGAGACTAGGCTCTAAGAAAAGCTGTCTCGGGTGTGGACCAATCAACTTCAAGGACAGTGCATATCATTATCAGAGTTGTTTATTTTTGTTTGCATTTTGACTGCTTGTGTTGTGGTTATTGCAAACATAATGCCTTGTATAAAGGTGTCAGTTTTTGTACTAGTTGAAAGGGTAAAAAACTATCACTATGTAAAGGGTGCTTGCTTAAATGCCTTGGCAACTCAAAGCCCTTTACATAACCTCTCACCTGAACCATTCCAGTGCGCTGCTGCAGTTCACCTGGGGGGGGCCCAGTGGCAGCTGTCCCTGTGTGGCACAAGGTGTACGCAGCACCGGCTGGCAGCTGGGCAATGTTTGCCATGTAGTGTGTGTGTCGTTTTGTGGTGTCGTGGATTGCTACGTTGGGGGCCTCCTCCCGTACACAGGTGTGGATGAGTGTGATGCTGTATCGTATTATGGGGAGTGGTAGTTTAGTGGTTAGCGCTACGCTGCGCTATGCACCCGGCGACCCGAGTTCGATTCCCACCAACGGCCACCAACACCGCTGACGATTATCTGAACCAGTCCTGGGCCTCCCCTTGGTCGTCTCGGCCTCAAATGAGTCCCTGGTGCGGTGTGTAAACATCACCCTTGGGGAGTCGAAGGCGGCCGGGCATGGAGTTGGCCACCCTCCCCCTTGTGCATACTTTGTCAGCCTTCATAGGTGCTCGCTAATAGCACTTGCCCCTACGGTCTGTCAAGGCTATACGGGGGATCTTTGTTTTCGTTTGTATTATGTTGTAATCTGTGCCATTGTATTGTCATGTATGTGTAGTGTAATAGCGCCGGCTGGTGGACAGCAGCGGCAACTGCGGTGGACAGACAGCACACACGCCGGTGGGGGCGTGCGTGGGGTGTGGGCAGAGGGGCAACTGGGGTAAGGGTCACGGAGGGCCCCGTCTGGAGGCCTACTGGAGCCTGCTGGCGGGTTCGAGACGGGAGGCGCGGTCAGGGCTGAGCCAGGCCGTGCTGGCCTTTATAGGTGCTCGCTAACAGCACTTGCCCCAACAGTCTGTTAAGGCTATATGGGGGATCTTTGTCTGGAGTGGGTGAGCGTGGTGACTTATTGCAATGCAATTAATGTGTTGTATTGCAGTGGATTGCGATGTGTTATATGCGCCACTTTGCATTTTGACCACAATTGTATTGGCTGTATTGAAACGCATTGCACATTGTTGCATTGTACCGTAGCGCGCTGCCTGGTGCTGTCGTGTGTTGCTTTACAATGCCACGCCTTTCGTCTGCAGGTAAGCGTCTGCAGGAGTGGGTGAGCGTGATGCTGTGCGCCATCCTCGTCATTTTCAACGGTTACCACCTCGTCGTTAACTTCAGCGTCGACCACGTTCACTACATCCTCATCGCCATCGGTAAACTGCCCCCCCCCCCCCCACCACGCACTTTCACCTCCGCTTGTGACGAGGGCTGCGAGTCGATTAACCGTAAGTAAAAAAAGGAACGGAATCGATTACCGGTTCCCAAATATCGCAAAATCGCTAACGATAGTAACCAGTTAAAATGTGGCTACCAAAACTCGTCACAAACATTGCCGTTCGCCGAGATTATATAATAAACAATATAAATAAGCAAGGAAATTCGCTTCCTTTGCATATCTATTCCTTCATCAACAAAAACCCAACCAATATTTTTTACACATCCCATCAGCGCATGGTCTTGCTCTTCACCGCATGCGTTCAAACCGCACGGCGCGTTCCGCTGCGGTTGGTCACGTGACGACCCGTGACAGGCCACGGAGCGACGGCCCGGCTCCAACCCGCTCCGAGCCATTGCTGCTCATTTCCTGTTAACAGTCCTGCGGAGCCAGTGGTGGAGTATCCACTTTCGTAAGGTAGGGGGGGGGAAGTCTGTCCATAGGACAAGCGCTGCTGATTTGGTACCACAAAATGATACTCGTTTTAACTGCCCCCCGGGGGGATGATGCATCAACGCGTACGTAAACACAACCTACAGACCTTCGCCAATCCACTGCTGAATGGAGACGGAGGCTCGTTTGACCGTGCCTCACCGCTTCCGGTCGATAAATAAACCGAGATGATCAAGTTTTACACGTTCTTTGTTGTTTGCGCTTATCGATAACGGCCAAAAGTCAATACAACACATGCGGCTGGTGACCTCTGGTGATACTGGAAGTTACACGTGGAGTTTGCTCTGTCTGGTCATCTGGGTGAGAGGTCATCTTGTTGCTTTGATGTTTGGAGGTGGGGTGGTTGGGGGTAGGCAGGGAGGGGGAGGGGCAGGGGGGGCTGCGCAGTATTTTAACTGTAGCACCGGCGATTGAGCACTGTTCCTTATTGCTGCAGGTTGTGCACTAATCATTCACGACTCTTGGCTGTTATCGAGCACCTGTGAAAGTCGGGACGGTGCACAAGGGTGTGGGTGGCCAGTAACATGCCCGGCTGCCTTTGTCTACCAAGTGGCGATGTTTACACACCAGCTACTCATTTGAGGCCAAGTCTTAGGGGAGGCCCATGACGAGTTCAAATATTCGTCACTTTGATTGGTGGAAAACCAACCACCGTCGGGTTGGGCTGCCCACCACTCACATTGTCATTGGCTGCTCACGTTTGGGCTACGCCCATTTCAAACCCCTTATAAGCAGCTTGCCTTGGAAGTTAACCCCCCTTTTCCTGAAGACGACCGCTTGTGTTGCGATCGAAGCGTCGTAGTTTTTTGTTATTTTCTTTGAACCTATCTACGTGACTTTACCGAAAGACCCAAGAATATCTGTTACATCTTTGATATTAGTGCTGTTTGTTGCTGGCAGCTTCATGGCCTTCTGGGCCTGCGCTCAGCAACCGTGTACAAAAACACAATTGCCATATTTTGGTGTAACGGTTCGGTTCAAGAATCACTGACGGTTAGATTGGAGAAGGTAACAGGATGATTGATCACAGGAAAACACAGGAAGTGTAGCTCCGCTAGAATCTGGCCATGCGCTGCTCTGGTGGCGAGATGTTATCTCCCTCGGCTGGTGCGCAGAAGGGTGTGGGTTCGATCCCAACTCTGACGCCTGCTGCATATTTGGAGTTTGCATGTCTCTCTCCCCCCGTAGTACCGTGAATTTTTCTCCAGGTCTTCCGGTTTTGCCTCCGCATTTAGAATCAGCATGCGTTCAGAGTATTTGGCTGTAATACATTTCCACATGATAAGCCACTCTGTTCAGCTATCATGTATGATAGCCAGGTCGCTTCTGAAATAAGTAATATTTAAAAATACTTTTTTTAAAAACACGCTTTAATGAAATGTACTGTAATCATAATGGAAAAACTCCACGACTCCAGGAAGTGGCCCCGAAGCTTGCCGTGACGTAAGGGACCGTGGTGATTTACAGCCAACGTTAGTTGAGCGTGGACAATTAGACCCAAGCCGAAACATAACATATAAAAAAGATGGTTTAAAAAGAGTTTAAAAAAAATGATAGAGTATAGTATTGTCATCAGTATTACATAATTATACCAAGTTTGCAGTCGATAGCACATTGGGAAGTGGGTTAAAATTGAGATACAAAATTTCAGGATACGACAACAACAATAGACAGAGTTAGTTAATATAAAGCGTGTAAAAAGATTGTTTAAATATATATGTGTTATTTTTTATGATAGAATATAGTATTGTCATCAGTAAGACATAAGTATACGATGTTTGCAGTCGATAGCACATTGGGAAGTGGGTTAAAATTGAGTTACAAGATTTGAGGATACAACAACAACAGACAGAGTGAGTTAAATAAAAGTGTGTAAAAAAAAGCTCCATAGCTCAGTGGGCCTTACCCGGTGAAATAAAAGTGTAGTACCGCCTGCTGGCTTGGTCCGAGTGCCTTGCATCTTCTCTCTCGCTCGTTTTTGTTCGACCCAGCCTTAGGGGTCGGGTACAGCGCATTGTTATCATCCAACCGTTTCCACCCCCAGCACGCCACATCCAGTATTGCCGCTCTCGATCTCACTATGGCTGTGGCTACTGCTAGTGACATGCCACCCACTCCGGTTGTTACCAGCGAGCCCGGAAAATACTCGTTGAGAAATGACGCCACAACCGCAGAGAGAAGTTGTCCTGCAGCAGTAGCAAACTAACTTTACGCTTTTTAAAAAAAATTTTAGCAGGTAAGGTGCACTCAGCTATTTAGAAATTTTGTCAGAAGCGACCTGGACATGACGAATGATAGCGCAACGAAGTGGCTCATCACGTGGACATCTATAGCAGCAGCCAAATACTCTGAACCATCGACCCCACAGCCGCTGCTGTGCAAAAAACATCCCGGGAGCTATCTTGAGGGGGAGGCAGGAGGATATCTGACAAGCTCAGCGGAGGTGGGAGGCTACGCGTGAATGCATTGTCTTGAGTAGTGAATTTTTATTGTTATTGATAAAAAAAACGGGGACTTTCGACGTTACCCCGGGAACACGCACAGATTTCCCAGGACACCAAGTTGCCTTGCTCAACGCGAGGATGATCCTGGGGCAAGCCAGGGCAGCTGGCAATCCCTACCCAGCCACAGGTCGCCTCGGCTTAACAGGACTGGACCCGTAATAACTGTTTAATTCAGCCGTCCTGCTGTTTACAACGCCTCCTGCCGTACCGAGGGATTTGTTTTATATGAGGAGACGTTTTGGACAATCGGCCCTCCGCCTTTATCTTGAGGGCCAGAGCGTCACTTATGGAGGCGTTGAGTTGTTTGGTACATTTGAATGTTTTGTCAGTTGCTTATTAGGCCGGTGGCGCGACACGTGGGGCTCAACGGTTGCCGTGACGACGGTGCCGCGGAATTGCCGTTGCCGTGTCTACGGTGCCGCCGTTTTGCCGTTGCCGTGACGACGGTGCCGCCGTTTTGCCGTTGCCGTGACGACGGTGCCACCGTTTTTTCCATTGCAGTGGCCGGGACGGTGACGGCCGACTTCCTGTCGGGTCTGGTGCACTGGGGAGCCGACACGTGGGGCTCCGTGGACATGCCGATCTTCGGAAAGGTACAAAGACAAAGGTCCCCTGTATAATCTTAATGGGCCGTTAAGGCAAGTGCACTTTGTGAGCACCTACGAAGGCTGGCACAGCGTGCACCTAATTAGTTCGCAGTGTCGCCAGCAGCATGTCCGAACCCACCTTTGTCTCCACAGTGCTGTTGTTCACACACTGCACCAGGTACTGCTTTAAGGCTGAGTTGACCTAAGGGGAGGCCCATTACCACTCGGATGTTCGTCACCGATGTTGGCCACGAGTGCGAGTCGAACTTGAGTCGTTGTTCAGCCAGTGGAAATGGGCTCTTATCTCTGTTTACTTATTTACGATTCAACTTGTCTACCCAGGAAACCCTCGCTGAGTCGTCTCTGGAGGTTACTGCCAAGGAGCCTAGTGCCGAGATTGTTCGCAGTCGGGCGAGATGTTGCTGCTGCGTGTGAATCCCAATTGAGTAATGTGCAGATAATCATTTCGCCATTGCGATGTGCCCTTTGTGTGTTCTGTTAAACTGTGGGAGAAAACTCGGAGACCCCAGAGGAATGGGGACAACATACAAACTCCACTCAGAACCCAGCAGCTTCTGGCTCTGTTGCCACTACGCCACCGTCTGAGCCGACGCGGCACACGAGGGGGTGGGTGGCGAGCACCAAGCCCAGTTGCTTTTGTCTCCCTCCTCACCCCCTCCCCCATTGGGGATGTATGCACACCTCTCGTGGTACTCTTTTAAGACTGAGTGGCTCTCGGGGAAGCTCAGGACTGGTTGTGATATCAATCGCTAATGATGGTATCCGCGGCAGGGTATCAAACCCGGGTCTGCAAAGTCTCATAGTGCAGCATGAGGGAGTGAGGCAGGGCTGGAGGGAGTGAGGCAGGGCTGGAGGAAGGGAGGGAGGCGGTCGATACGGGGTGTCGCCGTGACCTCTACACCTTCTGCTCACTCACTCGAGGTTTATTGGCGGTCGCCGGGCCGACAGAAGTCTATTTAACGACATCGTGCCCTCGGGGTGGTGCACTGCTCTCTCGCGGGGTGAACTTGGACGACCTCGCGAGGCAGTGACGCGGCGTAGCCGCAGCAGAGGTCCACGGTTCAACTCCAGCGGCGGCCCTGGCTAGTACTGCGGCGGTGACGTAACGGCCACGGTGGATGTTAAAGATTCCCTGACGTCGTCGCAAGAACGGGGACAAGTTAGACAAATTGAAAGCAAAACTAAAACTATTTTATTTTACCAGGCAAGGCCCACTGAGCTATTATCGCTCTTTTTCAGAAGCGACCTGGCTGCCATAGATGATAGCTCAACGAAGTGGCTCATCACGTGGGCATTTATTGCAGCTAAATACTCTAAACTCACGTTGACTCTAAATGTGGAGGGAAAAACCAGAGGACCTGGAGAAAATTCCACGTGACCACGGAGAGAGAGAGAAACGCAAACTCCAAATAGACAGCAGGCGTCAGGTGGGGATCGGGATGGAACCCATGACCTCCTGCACACCAGGCGAGGTAGTTAATATCTCGCCACCGTGGCGCCCCGCACATTTACACCGCACGCTATTCAGTTGCGATTGCAGCAGCAGCAGCAGCAGCCATGGCCCCCTTCAACCAAAACTTGGCAAGGACCCTCCTGAAAAAGTCTTTGGACCCCGGTGAGGCTTTGCTGGGTAAAACAAACGTTTACAACAATAATAATACAAACTTAAGGGACTTGCTTATTTACACTGCTCCACCCTCCACACCTCCACCGCTGTACCACAATGGGTGGCGTCCGTGCGTGTGCTGTATGTGCTGTGCGTGTGTGTACGTGCATGTTTGCACGTGCCTCTGTCAATATTTAAGCGGTGGTGGGGGAGGAGGAGATGACCTGTGGCTTAGAGGTCATCAGAGCGCCAGAGGCGCCGCGCTCCGTCCGCTGAGATCTCAGATTTCAAATCTTGCGGTTCGAGCCGCCCACCCAGAGTGATGAAACCGGTTCGCCAAGTGCACGCGAGTTGATGGCCTGCTTCGTTGATGGTCACAGTCCGGTCGCCAATAGTAGGTTTAGTTCCTCCGATTGCTCGCAAACCAGAGGTCGCAACCGGGTACCCGATACCCGTACCCTACCCAATACCCGGCTACCCGTACGTGACCCTGGTGCGGCCGGGTACGGGTACGGGTAAGGAATCAAAACCCGTTTGCGACCTCTGTCGCAAACGCCACTGCTGGTGCTGGGCTCGCCACGAGAGGGAGCTCCTCTTGCCCAGTGGGAACCCCGGACCCAGCAGTGGTCCACAATGAGATTATTGAGATGAATCTGCTGCTATAAATATAAATGTGTGTCTCAATGACAATCCGCTTGGTTGAGGTATAGTTTGTGGGTAGCCAGGTCGCTTCTGAACAATAAGTTAATACCTCGGTGGGCTTTGCCTGCCAGGATGGGGATGGTTTAGTTGTATTTGTTTGTGTTTGGGTGACTTTGTTTACCTTGTTGTAGTTTGCACTACGACCACCGTGTGTTTTGTAACTGTTGTTGTCGTCGCGTTCTGACTCCGTGCCTCCTACTGGACATCCGTGAAAAAAAAATCTTTATAGCTCATCGCATTGCTCCTGCAGTAGAGCGTGAACATTCTGATTCTTGTTCATTGATGTTCCAGGTGGTCCGCGGGCTGTGATGGCCGTGCAGTTGATCAAGACAATAATGACAATAGTTTGTTTCGGACATTAGGCAATATTCTTATCGTGATATTTAATTTGTAAAAAGTGAGGTTAAACTCCCCTGATTTAGCTACCCCAACCCTAACATATAAATGCCCTCCCAGAAAACAAAAAACAAAACCTATCGTTGCATTTAAATATATATGTTGTTATTTTCCGGTAATGTGAATCATTTTGTGTGAGTGGCATTTATATAGAGATGAAGTGAATGCGTTTTGTCAGTAAGGGTGGGGGGGGGGCTGGGTGGTCCACGGAAATGTTTGCATGCGCTGAGTGGACTGCGGGATAGAGGGGCATCCTCTAGGGGGCTCCACAGGAGGTGTGAACCTCCTCTGGGGGGGGGGGGGCTCCACAGGAGCTGTGAACTCCTCTGGGGGGGGGGGCTCCACAGGAGCTGTGAACTCCTCTGGGGGGGTGGGTGGGGGGGGGGGCTCCACAGGAGCTGTGAACTCCTCTGGGGGGGGGGGGGGCTCCACAGGAGTTGTGAACTCCTCTGGGGGGGGGGGCTCCACAGGAGCTGTGAACTCCTCTGGGGGGGGGGGGGGGCTCCACAGGAGTTGTGAACTCCTCTGGGGGGGTGGGTGGGGGGCTCCACAGGAGCTGTGAACTCCTCTGGGGGGGGCTCCACAGGAGTTGTGAACTCCTCTGGGGGGGGGGGGCTCCACAGGAGCTGTGAACTCCTCTGGGGGGGGGGGGCTCCACAGGAGCTGTGAACTCCTCTGGGGGGGGGGGGGCTCCACAGGAGCTGTGAACTCCTCTGGGGGGGGGTGGCTCCACAGGAGCTGTGAACTCCTCTGGGGGGGGGGGGGCTCCACAGGAGCTGTGAACTCCTCTGGGGGGGGGGCTCCACAGGAGCTGTGAACTCCTCTGGGGGGGGGGGGCTCCACAGGAGTTGTGAACTCCTCTGGGGGGTGGGTGGGGGGGGGGGGCTCCACAGGAGCTGTGGACCTCCTCTGGGGGGGGGGGGGGGCTCCACAGGAGCTGTGGACCTCCTCTGGGGGGGGGGGGGCCTCCACAGGAGCTGTAGACCTCCTCTGGGGGGGGGGGGGGCTCCACAGGAGCTGTGGACCTCCTCTGGGTGGGTGGGTGGGGGGGGGGGGCTCCACAGGAGTTGTGAACCTCCTCTGGGTGGGGTGGGTGGGGGCGGGGGGCTCCACAGGAGCTGTGGACCTCCTCTGGGGGGGGGGGGGCTCCACAGGAGCTGTGAACCTCCTCTGGGGGGGGGGGGGCTCCACAGGAGCTGTGAACCTCCTCTGGGTGGGGGGGCTCCACAGGAGCTGTGAACCTCCTTTGGGGGGGGGGGCTCCACAGGAGCTGTGGACCTCCTCTGGGGGGGGGGGGGCTCCACAGGAGCTGTGGACCTCCTCTGGGTGGGTGGGTGGGGGGGGGGGGGGCTCCACAGGAGCTGTGGACCTCCTCTGGGGGGGGGGGGGGGGCTCCACAGGAGTTGTGAACCTCCTCTGGGTGGGGGGGGGGGGGGGCTCCACAGAGCTGTGAACCTCCTCTGGGGGGGGGGGGGGCTCCACAGGAGCTGTGACCTCCTCTGGGGGGGGGGCTCCACAGGAGCTGTGAACCTCCTCTGGGTGGGGGGGGCCTCCACAGGAGCTGTGAACCTCCTTTGGGGGGGGGGGGGGGGGCTCACAGGAGCTGTGAACTCCTCTGGGGGGGGGGGGGGCTCCACAGGCGTTGTGAACTCCTCTGGTGGGTGTGGGGGGGGGGCTCCACAGGAGCTTGTGGACCTCTGGGTGGGTGGGTGGGGGGGGGCGGCTCCACAGGAGTTGTGAACCTCCTCTGGGTGGCGTGGGTGTGGGGGGGGGGGCTCCACAGGAGCGTGGAACCTCCTCTGGGGGGGGGGGGGTCCACAGGAGTTGTGAAATTACTCTGGGTGGGGGGGGGGGGCTCCACAGGAGTGTGAACCATCCTCTGGGGGGGGGGGGCTCCACAGGAGCTGTGGACTCCTCTGGGGGGGGGGGCTCCAAGGAGCTGTGGACCTCCTCTGGGTGGGGGGGGGGGGCTCCACAGGAGCCTGTGGACCTCCTCTGGGGGGGCGGGGGGCCACTCCCACAGGAGCTGTGGACCTCCTCTGGGGGGGGGGGGCTCCACAGGAGCTGTGGACCTCCTCTGGGTGGGGGGGCTCCAGCAGAGTTGTGAACCTCCTCTGGGTGGGGGGGGGGGGCTCCACAGGAGTGTGAACTCCTTTGGGGGGGGGGTGGGCTCCACAGGAGCTGTGAACTCCTCTGGGGGGTATTTTCCGGCTTGCCCTTCCACGCTGGTCGGTACGTGTTGGAATAGGTCAGGGGGTATCGACACTTTACCCCACCATCGTGTTCTGATTGCAGGCTGGGTGGACAGAGATAGTTGCGGTGGGGCGGGCGGGCGGGAGGGGATGGGATGGACGGGGATGTAAGAGAATTGCGGCCTTCGCCTGCGGTGCTGGGTGGTTTGGGTGTCGACTGGGTGGCGGCCTGCGATGCGTGACCAGTGTGCTCACCGTGACACCGGGGGTGCCGCAGTGGCTCGGAGATGTCATCTCTCGCACCCGCTATGCAGGAGGTTGCGCGTTTGATCGCTGCCCCTGACGCCTGCTGTATATGTGGAGTTTGCACGTCTCCCTCTCACCCCATGGTAGCGTGGAACCAACATCACGCGTTTAGACTTGGCTGCTATAAACGTGCACGTGATGATGAGACACTTTGTTGAGCTCTCGTTTGTGGCCGGGTCGCTACCGAAAAAGGGCTACATAGCTCATAGGGCCTTAACCTGGTCAAATAAAATGTAAAATGTTGAATGAGTTTAATAGTTTAAACTCCACCGCGGGCAGCAGCAGCAGCTTCCGTCACTGGTGACCACAGCGCAAAAAAAAGAAAGTTTTTAACCATTAAACCGTCGTCGTTGTCGTTGTTGTTGCGGTTGTTGTGGTTGTTGTGGTCGTTGTGGTCGTTGTTGTCGTTATTGTTGTGGTTGTTGTGGTCGTTGTTGTGGTTATTGTTGTGGTTGTTTCGGTTGTTATTGTCGTGGTTATGTCATAATTGTGGTGTTGTTGTGGTTGTATTTGTTATGGTGTAGTGGTCGTGGTTGGGTTTGTTGTCGTCATTGTTTTTGTGGTTGTTGTAGTGTTGTAGTGGTTGTTGTCGTTGCCTTTGTGGGTGTATTGCCATTGTGGTTGTTGCCATTGTGGTTGTTGTTGCGGTGAGCAGGCGTTCATCCGGCCGTTCCGCGAGCACCACATCGACCCGACCGCCATCACGCGCCACGACCTGGTGGAGACCAACGGGGACACTGCCTCGCCACGCGCTGCGCCGCTCTCCCACATGGCCTACAAGTTCCACACCCTGTCCCCCGGTGCGTCCCCCACGCACGACAGCCACCGCACGCACAGCCACGCACGGCACAGCCACGCACGCACAGCCACGCACGCACAGCCACGCACCCCGAAGGCGGCCACCGGATCGTCGGCGCGCTGCTTTCACGCGCGCTTGTGTGCCCGTCTGGAACGCTCTTCCTTCTGATATGAGGAAGCCACAGGGAGCCATGCACTTTTAAATTATCATCATCAAGGATTCACAAACTCATCATTTACTTCCCCCCCCCCGCACCTCCAATTTGCACGGTTGGCTGCGTTACAGTGCGATATATAGTTTAACATACGTACATTCCCCGTAAAGACTGAACAGACTGTTGGGGCAAGTGCCGTCGGCCAGTAGCAACACCGGTGAAGGCCGGTACGGCACACGACGGGGCGGGTGGCAGCACCACGTCGCGCCGGGTACTTGTTTGAGGCTGAGTAGACCTCGGGGAGGATCGGGACCACTTCACATATTCGTCCACAGATGTTGTCTGTGGGTGGGAATAGAACTCGGGTCGCCGGGTTCATAGTGCAATGTGCTAACCACTGCGCCGCCACTCCCTTTTGCATAACTCCATGTTCTAAAACTATAAAGGATAAACTTTTTATTTTACCAGGTAAGGCCTACTGAGCTATAAAACTTTTTTTCAGAAGCGACCTGGCCACAAATTATAGCTCAACAAAGTGGCTTGTCGTGTGGATATTTAAAAGCAGCATCCAAATACTCTAAACACGTGATGATGTTGATTCCAAATGTGGAGAGGAAAAACCGGTGGACCCGGAGAAAAATCCACGCGACCACAGGGAGAGAGAGACACCGGCAACTCCAAATGTACAGCAGCAGGCGTCAGGGTCGAGATAGAAACCCTTGACCTCCTGCGTACCAGGCGAGGGAGTCAACATCTCGCCACCGCAGCACCCATCGTTTGATGCGAGTTGAGGCCCCCAGGACCTGTTGAGACATTTGCTGTCACCGGTGGTGGCTGTGAGCGGGAATCGAACTCGGGTGGCCCGGTTCGTAGTGCAGTGCCTTCATAACCGCCGTGCCCACGTTGCTCTCGTTCGTTCGCTTGGCTCTGATTTGGGTGCAAACGAAATAAAAACAAAATCACGAGCATGAGAAATCGATTTCCGTTGCAAGGCACCGTAGCCGAGCCAAATTGCCTGCGGTGCGTTGCCAGTTGAGAAGCCACCACGCAATCACACAAAGACAAAAGATCCCCAGTATAGACTCAACAGGTTGTTGGGGCAAGTGCTATTAGCGAGTAGCACCTATGACGGCCGGCATGGCACCGAGGGGGTGGGCGGCCAGCACCACGCCCCACCGCCCTTTTCTCCCCAGTACGATGTTTTACAACAATCGCACCAGGTATTTTTTTTAGGCTAAGTCCACCTATGGGAGGCGCAGGATTGGTTCAGATATTCGCCACTGTTATTGGTCGTGGACAGGAATGAAAGAACTCGGGTCATCGGGTTCGTAGTGCAGTGCGCTAACCGCTGCGCCACTGCTCCCACACAACTATACACACACTGCACACACATGCACACAGAAGCAGTTATTTGTTTTCCTGAACATAACGTTTGATAAACTGTCAGCGCCTCTAACAAACGTCACATAGGTCTTCTGGTTCTTTCGGTAAAGTCACGTAGAAGGGAAATAATAAAATAATAAAAATAAATATAATAAAATAATTCTCAGGACGTTTCGGCCACAACGCAAGCAGCCGTCCTCTGTTCGACAGACCTGTTCTTCACATGAGGACGGCTGCTTGCGTTGTGGCCGAAACGTCGTGAGAATTATTTTATTGTGTTTTATTTTTATTATTTTATTATTCCCCTAGTACGTGACTTTACCGAAAGAACCAAGAAGATGAATCCCCGCAGTCACGAAAGCTTTAAATCGAAATTGAAGTCCATATAGGTGTTGACGATTGCGTGTGGCTATAAAAAAAAAGTATAGGGTGGCCGGGGGGAAGGGGTGGTGAGGTGTTAATTGCCTTGCCTGGTGTACAGGACGTCATGCGTTCGATTCCCGACCCTGTCGCCTGTATGGTTGGAGTTTGCCGGTGTCTCTCCCCGTATTCGCGTGATTTTTCTCCGAGGTCCTCCGATTCTTCCCCTCCACATTTAGAATCAACGTTACACGTCTGGAGTATTCGGCCACTGTAAATTCCCACGCGATAAGCACCACTTCGTTGGGCCACCATTTGTGATTGCCAGGTCGCTTCTGAAGTAGAGCTTACATAGCTCGGTGGGGCCTTATGTGTTAGAATAATAGACATGCAGTTTTGTTTAATGTGAAGGTACTGATACGTGAGGGATGTGGAGTGCCGCGATGGACCGTTTCTCTTGCCTGGGTCTGGGTTATTATCGGCTGGCCAGGGGATCGGTGAGCACAAGTAACAAGAAGAGTAATTTATTCTCGAATTCGGATGAAACAACAAAAAACCTCGACTTCAAGAGCCGCAGTGCCTGTGATGGATACGAGAGGGGGTGGTCCTTCGTAAATAACGTGGACTATCGGTCCCTCAAAGAGCGATCGCATACGGCTCCGGGCTGTGGCGTTCCAGTCCTGTAGCGCTTTTAAATTGCAAACATTTTTTCCTCGTGGCGTTCATTTGGCGCTCACACTGTTTTCAATTTAACACTTAGTCTGTGCTGCTCTGCAGTTGCCTGGGTGAAAAGTGGGCTAAGTGTTGCCCAGTCCTGGCGAGCTGTCTCTCTACAAACTTAGTCGGCTGACGGACCGTACGACCGTACGACCGTACGTGCGTGAGCCGGGACCACGTCCACGGTTAGCCCCACGCTGTCCGCAGCTTCCTCGGGAACCGAAACGTAAGCGGCCGTCTTCGAGACTCGAGGATCGTATCGCCAGCGCCCGGCGTTCTCGACTCACCCCCCCCTCCCCCCTCCACAGAGGCGGTGCATGAGACATACGCGTGGGAGTGCTACGTGTTTGCGCTGGCCGTGTTCGTCACGCTCACCAACCAGATCCACAAGTGGTCCCACACCTACTTCGGGCTGCCGCGCTGGGTCACCGCGCTGCAGGCGGCGCACATCGTCCTGCCGCGCCGCCACCACCGCGTGCACCACGTGGCGCCGCACGAGACCTACTTCTGCATCACGACCGGGGGCGGCGCACCCCGGCACTTCGCCGCCGCCACCACCGCCGCTGTCACCACCGCTACCACCACCGCTGTCACCCCACCACCACCGCTGTCACCACCGCCACACCACCGCTGTCACCACCACCACCACCGCTGTCACCACCGCCACCACCACCGCTGTCACCACCGCCACCACCACTGTCACCACCACCACCACCACCGCTGTCACCACCGCCACCACCACCGCCGCTGTCACCACCGCTGTCGCAATCACCGCCGCCACCACCGCCGCCACCGCCGTCACCGCCATTGTCCCCACCACCACCACCGCTGCTGTCACCACCGCCGCCACCGCCATTATCACCGCCATCACCACCGCTGCTGTCACTACCGCCGCCACCACCGCCGCCACCGCCATTATCACCGCCATCACCACCGCCAATGTCCCCACACCACCACCGCTGCTGTCACCACCGCCACCACCACCACCGCTGCCACCGCCATTATCACCGTCACCACCACCGCCATTGTCCCCACCACCGCTGCTGTCACCACCGCCACCGCTGCCACCGCCATTATCACCGCCATCACCACCGCCACTGTCGCCACCGCCGTTGCAATCACCGCCGCCACCACCACCGCCTTCACCGCCATTATCACCGCCATCATCACCGCCATTGTCCCCACCACCACCGCTGCCACCACCGCCACGCATACCCCTGCTGCATCGTCACCGTCGGAGATCTGCGCACCACGACCTTGTGCGAGCCAGACCACTCCTGCCCTCATCGCCCGCCCCCCACACCCCCTGCCCCCCCTGCCCCCCCTGCCCCAGGCTGGCTGAACTACCCCCTGGAGTTTCTGGGCTTCTGGGCGAGGCTAGAGAGACTCATTGAGATGGTGACGGGCGAGAAGCCGCGTGCGGACGACTTGAAGTGGACACAGAAGGTCAAGTAGCCTCAGCCTCTGTGGTGGACTCGCCCACCCCCTCGTCGCCCGCTCGCCCGTTCGTCCCTCCGTCTATCGGCTTCCAGGTCGTCCCAGGCTCCACGGCTCATCTGGACACGAGCCCCCCCGCTCCCTCGCTCCTGTGGCACCCCCCCCCTCCCCCAAAAAAAACAATCGCCTTGCACCTCGTCGTGAAGAGTGGGTGGCGGGGGGGGGCAGGAAGAGTGGCGGGGGGGGGGAGATGCGACGGAGAGACGGCAGCCGAGTGAACTCCAGAGAGGGTGCGAGCAGCGAGCGCGCTGTAAGTGTGCACCTAGCCTGGCACAAGCGCTGCGACGACGTCTCCCGTCACGTAGCGCCGAATGTCGGCTGTTTTTGTTGTGTAGAGCACGTGTGAGTGAGGGTGGTGTAATAGTGTGTGTTGGTGGCGGTCGTGCGTTAGGTGTGCATGTGTGGGTATGTGTGGGTATGGGTGTGCAAGGGTGTTGCCGGAGATTGTGTGAGTGTGGGGAGCGGTGGCGCAGTGGGTTAGCGCTGCACTGCGCCGTGAACCCAGCGATTCATGTTCAATTCCCCGACCACACGGACATGGGTGGCGATCATCGGAACCGCTGCTGGCACCCTCTCATAGGTCGACTCAGCATGAATACTAGGGAGACAAAGGCGGATCGGCGTGGTTCCGGCCACACCACCTCTTTGTACACCAAGCTTGCCTTCGTAGGTGCTGCTCGCTAACAGCACTTACTCCAACAGCCTGTGGAGGCTGCACGGGTGATCTTTGTCTATGCGTGTGGGAGATGCTAAATGCACTTTCCCCAGCAGTCTGTACGGCTATTGGGGCTTTTTTGTCTTTGTGGTGGAGGAAGGGGGGGGGCGGCGCGGTGGTGGTGGTGTTGTTGTGTTGTGTACTGTTCTCGGTAGTGGTGGTGGTGGCGTTGTGTTGTGTTGTGTGCTATTCTCGGTAGTAGTGGTGGTGGGAGGTAGACGGCGTGGTGGTCGCGGTGAAGCCGGCGATGGATTTGGTCGACCCACCTCCGCCGCTCGTGATGTGGGGAGGTAACTCATCCAGCAGCGGAGCGACGGGGGGAGGGGGCGGGGGGTGATCACACAATGCACAATTTGTGAGCGACGGGCGA